AGGCCGCACGGAAGTTGGATGCGCAGAGAGCATCGGTCGCATCGGCATGGCGCTGCTCGTCGTCGAGGGTGCTTCCATAGTCGCTCTTAATGGACCAAGAGTCGGCGGCAACGGACCTGTCGTCGTCGGAGACCAGATCAGTGGCGACGGCCGATGCAGCTCGGATTTGCTGCTGAGAGATGTCGGATTCTTCCGGCGGCATACGTATTCCGGCCATACGCAAAACCCTAAATACTGGGGGAGGATTTTTAAAATCGGCGAGGGGATTTTGGTAGCTTTCGCGGCAGAGTGGGTGGAGAAGAGAAAGTACCGAGTATTTCTGGGGAAACAAGATTTTGACTCGTCAAAATCCACGATTCGTTCTTATTACTTTCTTCTGGGTTCTGAAATCAGAAGTGTCGTTTGTTCGTTTTTTTCTTTTTCTTTTTTAATCTACGAGTTGGGCTGGGCTGGGCTGGGCTAGCCTAAACACCAGGGTCCTTATGAGTTATGACCCACATGACCCGTTAGGTTCCACTGTGCAAATCGGTACTATCCCGATACCAGATATAGAGATCATGAATTACATTCTAAAATCAATACCAAATTTAATGCCTAAGCAAATATGATTCCTCAATTTCTAAAAATTTCGTATCTCAATTGGTATTGTTGGTATGTCAATCGGTATTTGTAATTAATAATTAAATATATAAATTAGAGTATATAATCTAATTTTCGGTAAAAAAAACAAGTATACTCTTGGTGATCTGACAGTTAGTTGTACTTCAATGAGTTCCGACAAATGAACAATGACTTATTGTTTTCTATTAAGTTGAACTTCGAGTTTGGATTTAGAAAATCAAACCTGAGATTTATCCATTTGAGATTAAGATATGGCATCATACCCCAAACTCGATTTAATTCGTAGTCTATATAGAAATATGTCGGAACTTGGAATCCTGATTTGAAATCATTCCCCAACTAAATCATGTATCATTAGAGGATGGCCATCTACATTTTCTAAGTCTATATAGAGATATGTCGGAACTTGGAATCCCGATTTGAAATCATTCCCCAACTAAATCATGTATCATTAGAGGGATGGCTATCTACATTTAGCAAGTGTGGTTGGTGGCCTCTTATTGTAGATCTTCCATTGGTTAAGGTAATACGAAATGTGGTACGTCAACGTGATCACTGGGGAGTCAATTCTCTGTGCAGATAGTAAGCTAGTTTAAGCGAATTGTGGTAAGTCAACGTGATCACTAGAGAGTCAATTCTCTTTCCATATAGTAAGCTAGTTTAAGGTTAAAAGCACAATTTTACATAAAAGTATTTTGTTTTAGAAGCATAAAAAGCATAAGCTTTTAAATAAAGCACGATTTTATAATAGTGCCAGAAATTCTGATACTACCAATAGCCTTGACTTTGAATATGCCATTCCGGCAAAGCGGATCTCTTGTGCAACAGCCTGGTACTGCTAACTTGAGAAGGAGAAACCAAAAACTTAAGTAGTAGAGTTCATCTTTTCAGTTGCGAGAAACTACGACGGTTCCATTAACCTACTAGGACACAACTGTGCGACTTGACTGTTCACCATACAAAATGAGTCAACTAAACCCGCCCATATTACCCTTCTAACTTCCTGTCAAAATGAAAGGAGACGCTTCTCTGTAGATATTCAGGAAAGTATGTGGCCAAAAGCCATCGAATAAGCCCTAGACAGGAAAAAAGATAACTTTTTCTGAAGACGACAGCTTATGGTTCCTCCTTCTCTGCAGAGTGATCAGGAGATGATGGAAGTGGCGGTTCATCAGTTGCTTCTGTTTCAATGGCTTGATCATTTTGATCCTCAATGGGTTGATCATTTGCAGGCTGCTGTTCCTCAGCAGCACCTTCTCCATTTTCAGGATAGAAGTTGATGGGGAATTTCGTCACACGAGGTTTGTCAGACAAGATGTTTCTCTGAACCTTATCGAGCAACACCTTAGGTGGAGGTTCCTCTCTTAGCTGCTCATCTTCATAGTCATTGTTCACATAGTAGCCAACTCGAACAAACTCCTGACCCACATAAGAGCAGGTCAGCAAAAGCACTGTCACCCCTATGATGTCTTCCTCCCGAATTCTGGTTGGGTCAGGAGGATCAGCCTGATAAAAGTATCATCCAAGCAAGAGAATATCAAGATACTGTTTTTGTGAAACAGAGAAAAGGAAAATAGGTCACACTTACCTGCAAGACAAAGCGATAGTTCCCAACATTGACTGGTCCCACAAGTACACTCTCTAGTAGTTGATCGTATGTTTCATCCTCAGCAGACCCCACATAGGTTAGCTTCCATTCCAGATCTGCATTTTGATGTGAAGTATGGTGTAATTTAGATAAAGAGGTAGAACGAAAAAACCTGGATATAGCAGTCAGATAACACAAAGATGCTATTCTGGATCATCAAGCATAACGAGGGCAGCAACACTACTTCGGATATAACAGTTAATTTGTTCTATGGTGCAATATTCATGCCTACAAGCACAGCCAATCCGGGGAAAATCTGATAGAGTACAATGTTCCATGAGTCCATCATTCTGGAAACTATGGATCTTATTTCCGAGAGGTATCCTCTAGTGCACTATCTTCATCAGAAGGTTGGTTGTTGTACTTGGGTGAAACATAATACACGGCAATGATACTAAAAAAGTGAGCATAGCCCCCTATCAAAACCATATATCTCCAACTCCAACTCCAACTCCATATAGCAGCACGACTAATCAACATCAGAGAATGAATTGATTTGGCTGGAACAAGAATACCTAGTAGCTACCCACCCTCAAAAAACCTAACCATGACATATAAATCTAAAAAGTACCATATGATTCAAATACCAAAATAGCAGTGATTGCAACCAATAAAAGAAACCACAGCCATATCCCAATCAATACACCTGATACTAGGTCATACACTCATACTTCACTCTCATTTAAGCCACGGGTTAGAAAATTTTATCATTCCATTAACAATTTAATACTCAATGGTCGCATTACTTAAGTGCTTCTCGATATTGGGATGTTGAGCATTTAAAAGAACCAAACAAGTAACAGAAGTATAGCTTTATCTAAGAAATTACCAATCTATCATGGAAAAGATCCTCTACAAGCACAAGGAGTCATTTGAGTTTCATCGGCTTCACACATTAATGAGTAGAGATAAGGATATACACAGACACATAGAGTTCGATTAATATGTGTTATTAACTGAAACAGAAAGCTAGATACTCACATCCAAATTTAAACATCTGCGTAATCAATTGAAACCCAATAGGCACCAATTAAATTCCATTTCATTAACAGCAATTTACCTTTTAAAAAGTACACAGATGATGGCATGGGTAGCAGAAAGATGAACACCGTATCAAAGTTAATCGATTAAGGTCAATTGAAAGAAACGGATAGATCAGCTGATGCATTCATTTGTAACTTATGAATTGTGCATAGCACACCGGCACTGGGGTATGAGAAAGCTCATATAACAACATTACCCAGTCATAGCAAGTCACTTAAAATGAAAAAGAACACACTTCAGTCAGAATTAGAATCAAACAGAACTATGTGGTATATCAATCGTCAACTAAACATTTATGCCAATCTTACAATCTCGTACCAAGACATTCCATGATCAAAACAAAGACAAGGTTGAAATGACCTCCACCAACTATAAAGATGAAAGCTACCACGTTAACAGTTAATCTCACTTCTCAGCATTATAATGAAACATTCTGACCACACCCATAATACTAGCAACGAGTTACTTCTAATCCGTCATAATAAATAAGCATTCAAGCACATAGATTACCAAGCCTGTTATCGATAAACATCAATTCTACCGAAGCAAGAGAATAAACCCTTAAAAATCCTAACTCGCACTCAGGTTCAGAAGCAAAGAACGCGACGAAATCACGAAATTGGACTAACCAGGTTAACATTGCGGAAGAGGAAAAGAGTAGGGGAGGTGGAGAGATAAGAGAGGGAGAGGAAGCGTACCATCTTTAAGAGGAGTCAAGCACTCGTAGGAGATCTCGAACTGAAAAGGCGAAGAGAAGGGGGCAGGATTATCCAAGACAGCGACGTTGGTGATGTTCACAGCGCTCATCGTCCCACCACAGCCTATAATCCAATTACAAACTTCGCCGCTACCGAATATTCATCTACAAAAGCTTCCTTAACTACCCGGGATAGGAAACCCTAGAAACTAGTAGCAGCTGTTGGGAAGAAGGGATCAAATTCCGGGCATTGAAAGCGAGCGGATGAAGGAGAAGGCGAAATTGGGAATCGTAACGGGCTGGGGAAACAATTGGAATTGGGGGGGTTTAGGGTTTTCTGCAGGGGAATGAAGGTGTTCGCGAGGGTGTTAAAAGGAAGCGAGAGGAAAATGGTGGGAGGATTGCAAATGGCGGGAGAATTGGAAAAATGGGGAGCGGGAAGAGAAAGGGGAAATTTCGCAGACATCTAGGGCTGATGTGGGAAAACTATTCTAAACACGAAGCGGTTTCAAATAGTGCAGTCCCCGAAGCATAGTAATTACTAATTACTAATTAGCATTTTTCAGGTTTCCCTTTTCAAAGAGAAAAGTAATTGACAGTGAGGCTAATTAGGGATGATCAAAATGGTTGCCGAAAATCAAACCAAATATAATCCAATAAACTCAAAGTAGATAGGTTTGAACGACACTAAATGTTTGAAGAATTCGTCTCCAAAGTAATTTGATAAACTTCAAATTAGATTGGTTTGAACATAATTTTGACAATATTATGAGTAATAGGTGATCCAATATTCCAATTTTATGGTAATTTCTCTAAAGAAGGCTATTTTACATTTTTAAGCATATTTAGTATTTATAAATACACCATACTCATAAATAAACTAGCACTTGTAGGAGAGCGCAATGGTTGCCGCAAAATAAAAGGTTTGGGCCTTAGCGGAACAGCCATTGATGCAATTCTTGTTGGTACTTGGTAGTAAAAAATATTCAAATGAATTAAGATTTGAATTTGTATACATAATTAGTTGTATAGTTGATTTTTAGTTTGACAAGTTCTTTGGATGAACCAGACATAAACAAGAAACCGTGCTATTTAATTGAAATTGTTGCTTGAGGCATCACCGTAATCCGCAAGGCGTAAAGTACAAACAGACCTGAACACCACACATTACGGGGTCATTTGGATCCAGATTTTTAATTTGTGGGATTTTGGCTCAAATCACTGGTTTAAAAACCCAGGTTTTTAATGTGTGGAATTTGTGTCGGATTTTAAAATAGCTGATCACCATCAGCTATTTCATAATCCCACAATTGTGGGTTTATGAAATCTCTAATATTTAAAATCTCTTATCATATAATTGCTTTCCAAACGAGTGATTTTAATAAAATCCCACATTATGTACGGATTCACCGGACTGCTTAATACATGCGTCATTGCGTCTTAACCGGAAGACTACACAGAGACTAAACGCAGATCCTTCTACAATCAACTCCTGAACTCCGACGACTTCTCGTGCCAGCTTCACAATGCTGACATCCTGGTTTCAGATCAGGATCCAAAACACAAAAGGATAACCACAAAGCCAGAGAAGAACATTTCTACTGTACAAGTTGGAAGATGATACACAATCTAACTCCCACTAGTCAAGTCCATTTTGCGCGGTTGAGCATTGAACATCCGAGCGATATCAGCAGCACTACTACAGTCTTCTGGGTTCCTATCCCCCACTGATCGGACGAATCTAGGGAACCTGATTGAGATGCCACGCGTCTGATGAACCAAACCTACCCCGGCTTGATGAACTGGGGATATTGTCAGGTCAGCACCTCTGATTTCCCACACAAGCTCTGCTGAAAACCACATGTCTGGCACTTCCAGGGTTCGATAATACGGTGGCTTTTTGGTTAGTGTTCTATCGCCGGTAAAGAACTCTTTCATCTGCAACCAACCCCACCACATTGTGCAATTAATTACAACCTAGATTCATACTTTGCAAAATAGACTAACCTAGTACAAGCAACTATGATGCTGACTTCTGAAATAATAAGTTTCTGGTGGGACTTTGCATTGCCTGCAATTTTCTAGCATTTTACTGTAAAAGAAAAGCAATTCATTTCCATTGCGCTCTTACGTTAAGGATCAATATCTATTATGAATTATGGATATTAGACTCGATGACAATGTACAATGATGCTTCAGTCACAATAAACAAGTAAAAGAGAATATAGGAATCCACACTATACCTCTTTGTAGAAGGCATCTGAGAAACCAGACATGACACGGCAAACGGATTGGAACTCTTCAGTCTCAGGGTTGTAGCACGCCATGAGGAATGGACTGTACCTGCAGTTGCATGCACAATCCAGCTGTGTCATTGGATGCCTAGAAATATATTGAGCAAACATAGCAGCAAAAGTTCCTTCATTTCCAGAATGACACCAGTTCCTTAAACACTAATAGGGTATCATTCATTCATTTTTGTCCTCACTATATTCTGCTGACTTGCGTCTCGATGTGCACCAAAAATCAATAAGATGAAGATGATGAATGGAACTTTTTTGTGATTAATTTCTTATTACTAAAACAGTACGGGACATATACCTGAGAAAGATGATGTACCTCTAATATTAGGGAAATAAAAAAAAAACCCCAGAAAACAGACCATTGCCAAGCAAACAAATCAAGGCTATCACTTATTACCATCCTGCTTTCCTTCCGTTTCCATGCCAAGCACCAATCGGTACTAAATCAAGCGAGTCACCCAAACCTTCCACATAATCCCGTTTCACCTACAAAAAGAAATTATGCCAGCATGTCACACATCAGTGACCTTACTGTACAATTAAAAGTGAAATTCCTGGACATTGTTTCCTAGGGCTCTCTAAAGCCCTGCTGTTTTCTCATGAATGAATGGTAAGGATGCATTTGAATCTAGTTCGCCAAAGAAAAAAGGTCAAGTAGATATCAATGTCCTCGAACGGTGATCTCCACGTAATGAAGGTAACCTCAGTAGACCATCTAAGACCACCTCATGTAAAATAATAAGAGACCGCCTACCTTCAACCAGCTGTCAGCACGTTTTGATGGAGAATATCCAGCATCGACATCTAGAGTTTTCACCATGATTCCTTCACACGAACATTGCCATGCATCTTCAAGGAAAGTGTTCATCCTGTTTAAGATTGATTCATTGCCCAAACAAGCATCATTTGGCTCAACCTAGGAATCAATATTCAAAACCAAGTATGAGATTTAAAGCTTCCTATTTGGCTTAAACTACTACCATATTTATCTCATACCGTCATTTCTTCTGCATATCGAAAATAACCTGGCCTCTCATCAGGAAATAAATCTCTCAAGTCTAGTGTCAAATCAGAAACCAGTTATCAATACCAACGATTAGAAACATAAATTATCAAATACGAAAGAGAAATACAAGCAGTGTGACAATGCAGGACATGAAAGCACATACATACATTTCCGCCTTTGACGAAGAGGAAATTTCAACAGCCTGAAATCAAGAAGCATCGTTAGAAAGGGAACCAAGATGCAGGCTCCTTTTTTATATAAATGAGTGAAGTTAAAGCTTAAACTAATTGGGCAATCAATATATGATAGTGAGAGTATTCATTATAGAGCCTAACCAGAACCTATGAACATTGACAATACCAATTAATAAGTTGACATTTGTGAATTGTTCTGCATGACAATTAAGCAAGGAAACCATTTCTAGGTGATAGAAGGTTCAGAAACTTACTGTTCTCCATTAGCAAACATGATGTCGAAGACAAACACGCAGATCTCCACCTGCATGAATACAGAAACCGCGTTTACAGGGTATACATCAATGGCCAGAAAGTAACTATAAAAAATTATGTTCACATGTATCTTGATGACCAATTGGTATGCATTAACAACTGGATATCCGAACCGAGAATAGAGCAACCTTAATACTATCCAATGTAATTGAGGATTCTTTGCTCCCCCTTTCTCTAGAAGACAGTTCTTGGAAGGACATGAGCTTGCATCCATTTTTCCTATCAACTGCAACAACCTGAAGTGAAACATGAAGAGATAGATTAGCCAGCAAACCGTTGTCTGGTTCACGAACAGTTACTAACCAGTGCCGCAACACAAACAATGCTACTCACTCCATCCAGCATACTTCCCGGCCAAAACATTAGCTAGCTTATAATATTAATCATGGTATATAAGAGTTTCAAACATAACTCCGAAAATCTCCAATTTCAATGCACTACCTGCCAACACATCTAAAAGGGAACAGAAGGATGAAACTGAACTCCTTAACAACCAAACATTACATGAAGCACACAACAGGACAATACGATTGCTTGTAACCTCCTGTTTTTAGTAGAAACATGAACAACTTCCATAGTGCAAACTGGCATTGAGTTAAATCTTTACAAAACAACATGAGACCGAAGTTCTCAATTGTGCTACTAAATTCACTCTTCCTTGAAATAATCAAATCTTACCTCTGCATCAATTATGAAAGTATCCTCTGTTCGATTACAGGATTCATCCACTATATTGATTAGATCTGGAAATTTTGATGTCGTTTCATCTCCATTTCGTGAAAAGACACGGATAGTTCCATTGGATAGTCTGTGAATTTGAGCACGTTGACCATCATACCTGAAATTATAAAGCACAATTACTAGCGGTGTCTCCGCCTCATTCTGTAATCATATTGACAAGTAACACCAAGCAAGATGCCTCAATGAGTGGCCTGCGGTTGAGAACATGGAGAGTGGATTATACAATGATAGTCAAAAAGATCGCCTGGAATAGCGAAGCAAGTAGCTCGACTTCTATGAAAAGCCATATGATAACAGTAAGGCTGTAGCAGGATTCATTTAACAGCTTAGGCTGCATGTGGAAGGTAACGATTTATCATTGAACTATCCAGAGGTGTTGTTGATCCAGCTCCACCCCTCGTGTACCGCTTTTAAGCCACTTGACCTGCAGAGTTTGATCATCCTGGCTCTGAATCAATCATATTTTCATCCATGCCCTTAAAATAACCATTTATCCTTACCCAGCTGCAAGCTACTTGGATCTTATCCTCTGATGTGATTGGAATAGCGTAACAACCGTTTAACATTTTTCTGTTCAGTATTCACTGATAAGGAATAATTTCCAAGAGCAGCCTGATGGATGTAGTAGTAGAAATGAGTCCAAAGGAAAAATGCATGCCTAAATTGCATTGCATGTTGATATATTGACCTAGCTACCAAATTTCACCTTGAAAGAGCTCAATGATTGTCAGCACAGAGACCAATCATGTCAAACAAACAGATTGAGGAACAGCACTGGAAAAGAAACTCAACTTCAAGATCACTTACTTGAATTCGCATGAAAATGCTTTATTTTCAAATAACTTGAGCACTTGAGAAACTCCATTTGTAATTCTGCATCATGAAAGGCTTCAGCTATCATTTCCGGTAACTGGTTTTTAACACATATCACATACTCAAAGAGATGGCAAAATTCAATACTTGGCGAGCATGGGTTTAATAGGTATCCCAGGATCCATAGACAAAGTAGACGAGGAAAAGCCAATGCTATTCTTGACGAGTGAAGGAACTAGCATGTCCTGTTACATTTACATTATATGTTTGAGAAACCATTTAGCGGCACAAAAATCCCAAAAGCACGAGTTCAATGGAACATAGTAGACAATTACCAGGTTAGGAAGTATATTATAAGCTTCAACTACTGCTGTAGAAAGGCCCTAAAGAATGAGCAGGGTGAGAATACAGCTTCTGGAAGTCAAGCAAGTCAACTGAAAAATTAGGATAAAGAGCATTAGGTTTACCTGAAGGATCTCTTTTATGTGTGAAGCACTATGTTTGTCTGCGGAGCTAGGGAAGGAATTCATTGCAACTGCTTGGGCCAGAGCAGGTAGTATAGTTTTCATCATTGCTCCAATCCGTAAGTTCCTTACCTATTACAGAACTTACATTTAACATATATTCTCCAGAAAAGATAACATAGTTGATGATCCAATTCAATATAAGCATCCAAGTCATATAGTAATCTAGATCTATCCAGATCCAAATGATTACAGAAAGAAAGAGAAAAACATAAAAAATACCCCCCATGTATAGCACACCAACAACAAAACCTAGATGCATCCAAGAATCAGCTAAAACATCTCACCAAAGTTCTCACAAGAAACTTCATTTCTTTCTCCTGGCAAGCGCACATCAAATTCACAATGAGGCTCTTCTTTCGACCAGTACTTTTACTGCCTGTTTGTGAACTGATGAGAACAATAGCAGGTAAAGGGAAAAAGAATAACAGGTTAAAGTCAGTGGTAGACAGATAGACAACAAAGGACAATACTCGCCAAAAGGGAACAACTAATACGGAAACGTGTAGGTAGGGCACAAACATAAATGAAACCAACATAAGGGACATTCATCCAATTCAAGCAAACAATCACACAGAACATATTATCTTTAGCCAACATATAATGAACTGCATTTCACCTCATCAAAGACTAAGTCGTGTATAAACTATAGTAATTCACTACAAGGTCAAACATGTCACATGCTACTTTTTTGTCCTGAACAATCACGTAGGGGTGTGGTAAAGTAGTAGAAGAAGCTACAGCTGATCATCCAAACTCCATAATTTGGAGACCTCCCCTAAGTGTAAGACAAGCATAAAAATGGATCTGCCACTATTGCATTCTTTTGTCATCTAAAGATAGAACTGTACCCATAATGAGCATCATCGCATCAGAACCTGTGTCCGAAGAAACTAGTAGTGACAGCCAGTGAGTTGAATGCCTCGACAATATTGATCTATAATGAACAATACTGTATTTCACGAGTCATACCTTATCTTGTGAAGACTAGAAAAAACATCTCGAATAAGAAGGGGAGGAGTAGGAGCAAGTAGTTTCTGTCTCTTTTTTGTTTGCCAGCATCTCTGAGCCACATCACCTTCAGAAAACAGACACTAATTACCCCATAGCAGACTAACCAGCAAATAATGAAAGACCCTGTTTTGAGTGAATAGACATGCAAAAATCAATATGGCTTACCAAGATCCCCAACGTTATTATACATCTCCCTTATTTCAGATGCACTAGGTCCACATGCCTCTGTTAATGCAGACGTGACCAAGCTGCCCCCAATATTTAATTCCTGCACGAAAGCAAACTCAATTGTAATTTGCATTAGAAATTGAAAACAAATGGCCTATTGGTATGTCAAAAGCAAGTAAGTTAAAGTTTTAGTTCATAGGTAACTAAAGGAAAACTACCGCTGAATTAAAGGGACCAAAAGCGGAGTCCACTCAGCGACAAAGTATAGAGGAAGAAAAGTTCATATCATCAAGACACTTCTACTAGTGTCCATACATACTTCTCCAAATCCTATGGATTATCAATCCATACAGCTTTTGAAAGACAACAATTATGATAAGTATACAGAGGATAACAAAGAGATATAACAGTCTTAAAAGCAACAGATGGAAAGGACATAAATTTGTTTAAAATATGAAAACAAATAACCAAACTAACCACATTTTCATGGTCAGCGGCAATTTTGTCTGTGCAAAGATAGACAGCAGCCAACAGATCATCGGGAGACAAAGCCAGTATACTGCATACCCAAAAAAAATTGCCGAGGAAGTTAACCGTATCAGCAAACAACAGAGGTAACTAGATTGAGAAGGTAGATATAGGCAAATGGGCACCCGCCTTCTGAACATATTACACAGCATAGAAGTGGCCTTAATCTTCCCCTTTTCAGCTTCAACCAAATCAAAGGTTCGTGCAAGGTGAATATATGGAACAGGTTGGCCAACATTCCAGCAAGCTGCAGAAATGTATGTCAACATTAAGCATCAGCTTCGGCTATCAAAAAGTTAAGAGGACTTTTTCCCAATCTGCTATAGATGAAGGGGCAAACCATGCTTTATGGGGTCATATTTTTCTGGGGGAAGTGACATAAGAGTAGCATCTGAACATGGTACTGCTGGTTCCTTTACTGATAGAGCAAATCCGACTCCTGCTTCTTGCAGCGACTTGTTACCCTGGGCATAAGACCGCTCATTAGTAACACTCTGGGGCTGAACCAATTTGTCAGACACTGCCAAGGTCTCAACATCCTTACCAGGAATACTCTCAGGTTTACCATAATGTATATCCAATGCCTTATTAATGTCCCCCTTAGTCCTCTCCAGAATGGTGGCAGCATAGCTTCTAAATGATTCATCAACACCAGTTATCTGAACAAACTGGCCTACCTCCTGTCCATACAAGTTTGGAGCATCATCAACCAACAAGTTCCCGTTTCCAGGGACTTCTTCAGAAATTGTTTGTTTCTTACTGTCTTCAGAAGTATTAGGCAAACTTTTACTAAAGAATCTAGTGATGGTGGATTGCTTTGAACCACTAGATTGGACCTTAGAACTACTTTTAGCTTTTTTCCCGGCCTTGACATCCATTTTCCTCTTCCTTTTTCCAGGTGACGAGCCACTACTTAATGACTTCACATTAGATGGCTTGAATTTTTGACTGAAAGCAATGACTGAACTCCCTCGGTTAATTGTGTTGCAGGTGGACTCAGGCGTTAGAAGTACATCATGTGAATTCTGTGTATCAGTATGGGACGAAGAGACGGAAGCCTTGCTAGAAACTACCTGCTCATGGAATTCTGTTTCACATTCATAGAAATTGGAAACAGCTTCAACTATATTTCTCCCTGATCTGCCAAGCAAATGTAACATTTGGTCATGGGTAACCCATACAGGCAAACAGTCACTCAATTCCTTTATTAGTCTCTGTGTTTCCTCTTCAGTTAGCACAGCTACATCTAGTGAATCAGACCCTTTCTGATTTTCCAAGGTATTTGAAATGGATAGCGGAACTGCATTTTCAACAGCTATAGGATCAGAAGGCTCCACATCTAGCTGTCCTTCCTCATTCAACAAAGATAAACCATCAGTTTCAAAACCTTTTTCACTCTCAGTAGAACCACGAAGGAAATTCATCAAGAAATCTTTCTTGTTGGCAGTCTCATCAACTAACCCTGCAAAATGTTTTTGCATTTTATGAACTTGTTTGCTGTCAAGGTTCTCAACATCCACACCAACTGTAGGAATAACACGTTTAGGTCTCAAAAGCTTCACATACTCTCTGAGTTCATCATAATTTGAATGTTCACTGTATGGCACAAGATGAACCTCGCACGAATCCTTAGTCCTCACCGCAAACTTATTACGCTTAACTTCATAAGTCCATCCAGTAGGAACAAAACCAACCACTCTAGAGTACCCTCTTTCTGCCATAATCTCTGCCATCTTGACAAAATTCGGACGAAAATAAGGCCAAGTCTCACCTAACACATTCCAACCAACGACATGGACATCACTCTCAAGCACATCCTCTGTAAACCCCTCAGTCTCCCCATACCCCAATACCCGCAAAACCTCCATTTTCTTGCCATCAACAAGCACTTTCGTTTTGCACCTCCTTGCAGTCTCAAGCAAAATCCTCTCCTTGCCAATAACATAAGTGGCTATAAGAAACAAGACCCTCTTATCCAAGCACTCCTTCCGTACACTATCTATCACGCTAACTACATAATCAACAGCCTCATCCTGAGCCGGAAACACATATTTAGGGTTGCAATAAGTAGTATCCAAGAAAACAGCGTCACAACCAATAAATCCACGCAACAGAGCATCCTCACTCATGGAACTGATGTACCTGAAATCGCCAGTATGAACATACATTTCAAAACCTGTTGTTGAACTCTTAGCCGGCACCTTGAACAAGAACTGAACCGCGCCAGGGCAGTGATTGGCGTCCACGAGAGTGACTTCGGAACCATCGAGGAGCGCCGTCTCACGCAACGGCAACGGGAAGACGAACTGCTTAGGGATCCTCAGAACTCTGGTGACGAGATCGGCGGTGATTTGAGAGCAGAAAATGATGCCGTGGGACCAATTAGGGTAGAGGCCCGCGTAGTGATCGGAATGGAAGTGGGAGAGGAAGTATGCGGCGGCCGGGGCGGGGACGGTGGCGGCGTGGCGGAAGGCGTCGATGAGGAAGCGGGTGCCTGGGATGAATTTGGAAGGAGGGAGAGAAGAAGGGAGAGGGGCGGCGGGAAGTGGATCGCTCGGAGGGATAGCAACGGTGAGGGAAGAGAGCGCATTGCGATGGAGGAGGAGAGAATCTAGGGATTTTGGAGATTGGGAAGAAGAAGAAGAAGACATGACTGAAATGTGGTGAAGACGGAGTTCCGATGGATGAAGAACTTATGCTAACTGCACATATGGTTGTGGAATTAGAAGACCGCCATTTCTGAAGGGAACCCTATATATACGGCACGGTGGGGTTCGGCGCCAAGACGAGAATTTGTGGCGTATGATCGGTTCTCCGAAATCCGAATCGGAGTTGAAATGTAAAAGGGAATTTCACTCTGCTGCTATGCTTGGCTAGTCTGGTAAGTTTTGATTCATATTTCCAGGGTAAATTACACGATTGCCCATTTAGTTTGTTGATGAATTCGTATTTAGGATTTGGGAATAACATTTTATTTTACTTGCTCACTTTAAAATTCAATATATCGTTTGTCATCGGTGTCTAATTCTGTTAGTTTCGTCCTAAGTACCAGACAACTATATAACTTTCTACTGTTAAATTGATGACGTGACAGTTAAATTTTCCATCTATGTCGCGCACTTCTCTTTGCCACCTCACGAACATCACGTGGTGAGATTGATTGTCGATGCTGATGTTGGGAGTGTCGCAACTCTACCAACAGACCTTTAAATTATCATTTAGAACGATCAAACAGAAATGTAAAGAAGACAATATTTTTTTACGTGTTATAATTAACATCATCCCTCAAATTTCGTCGACCTACGAATCGAACACTAAACCCCACATGCTCCGCCAAGCGCAGCAGGACCTCATGGAAGATGGCACCCGCTCTACTGTCATGCACATGAGCTTGATTGAGCCTATTGATAACCACATGCGCATCCCCCCCCCCCCCCCCCCCCCCCCCAAACTCACCACCGAAAACCCTTTTGTAGGCACCACAGAATTGCTTCGCGGAGTACCAAAAGCTCCACTACCATGGGATCATCTATCACCGAAAAATGAACGGCTGTTGCGGAGATTACCTACCCCCATGATCCAGGAGTATCATCCCCTAGCCGAATGGGACCCATGCCTTGTCGCCCCATCCCACCTGCAGACTATAGTACCAGAGTTGACAAGCTGCGCCACACCATTACCAGTCCCAGAGGTGCACACCACCCGGTCCTTAGGCAGAGATATCCCTCAAATTGATCTTGGGTACCTAACAACAGTTTGGAAGATAAGTACCAGTAAGGCAGTAACGACAAGAAGACATTGCCCTAGTCAGGATGTCAGCTGTCTCTATGTGTTCCTTCCGCTAGCAACTACCGAATATAGTGCACATAGCACATTTATGTGTTTTGTTCGGTCATATGACATTGATTTGTACTCGATCTCTATAAGAGATTTAGAAACCTTCTCCTGCTTGCGACAATGTCATGATACGAATGACTGTCCAAACCGAATACACCATCCATATGTGGATAAATGCAATCAAAATCGTGATTTTACCTAAAATAAAAAAAACAGAGGTAAAATCGAAATCGTAGATTAAAATCGTAAGATTTTAAGGTTCATATTAAAATAAACACTTAAAACACCAAATAGTAATAACAATGCATATCCTGAATAAAAGTCAACCACATATAACCTAATTACTTTCCAAGATAAGTTTGTCTGCTAAATAAACATAACTAAATCCATTTATTTATACTTGAACATAACATAAACACACAAATAAGAAACCTAAAAGCTCATAAAAATCACTTAATTTAGTTTATAGTTAATAGTATAAATTACATAATATCGTTAGGATTAACATTGGCATCCCTCACACATCATCATCCTTACCCTCACTCTTAGAATCCTTGTCTAGTCACTTGAAGTACTATCACCATTAATATTATTTCCTTGAACACCATCATCTGAGAAATGTAACTCATTGATTGATGCATTCCCTACTTAATCGCTAAAAGGTAGGGGATAGTTGTGTTGAAGGATTGGTAGATGAATGAAAGCTTGTAATGGAATGGAGATTGAGATAATTGTGAGGGCGGTGAGAACTAACTACGAGCTAATTGAGAGGGTGGAAGAAATCGTTGATGGAAGGAATTGGACATCGACGTGCGGAAGAGGAAGATACGAGGAAAAGAACGAAAATAAAGTCAGGGTCGCCTATCGGGTTAGGGTTGTATTGTTGATTATGTTGGGTCGGGGGAAGTAAACTGGACTCGATTCATGGGCAAAACTTGAACTGGCCCACCTAATTTTGCTCAATAGACATGAACCTTGAAATCTAACAAAATCGTAAAAATCGAAGATTTTAAGGATTTTAGAATTTTAAATCGGGATTTTATGGGATTTTAAGGTTCAAAGATTTTGTAGTAAAATCATATCGAAACACATAGGTAAGATCGTAAAATCGTAAGATTTTAATATTAAAATTGAGATTTTGATTACAGACTTGTATCCAGGCAACCATCATAAATTGACATTTGCAAATGTCTCGATATCTGGATGTGTATGAGTCAAATAGATAAGACTTCAAACCACACTTCGATAGAATGACCGATCCTCAAGAAGCTCACCACTAGACCTGCTTTACTTAAAGTTATGCTCCATGGGAGTAGAGCAAGGTTTATAGTCCACAAAACTGAGTAGGCTCCAATCAAGGGCGTAGTCAGGATTTCATTTAAGGTGGGTACACTTAGACAAATACACATGATAAAAATAACTTTTTGAATTTTTTTAATCATTCGTGATTTAATTTTATATTTGAAAAATTGGGATAAATTAAAATATAGTAGTTGGAACTATCAAGAATGTCACTCTCTTTGTAAAACGAATTATTCATGATTTAGTTATCCTTCGCTTCCAAATGGTGTTTTTTTGTCAAGAAACGTTTACTATCGATAACTCAAGATGTTGAGAGATGTTTAATAATGAATCTTATACAAAAGATTATCCATGATTTAGTTAGTCCTTCACTTTCGAATGATGTCATTAATAAAAAATCCTTCAGTATCAATAACTCGAATTGTTGAAACAGATTCAATAATATATCTTATACCATTAACTAAATACACCATCGTAAGAAAGTTTGTAAATTAAGGGAATTATCATTGTTACTATGCACAAAACCGGCTTGTAAAATAGTGTTATGAAACTTCTCATATCAGGATCTAGGAACCTATTGTAAGTTGTAACCCATACAACGATTGATTCAGTTTGCAAATAAGCTTTGGGTTTCCTTTGGAATATCCACTTCGTCCTCTTAACTTTTTTTTGTTGGGAATTAATTTGGATCGTTATCTTATATAGTGATTTTGTAGTTTCTATATGTACCTTATCTTTTTCTCTCATTTATTATCTACCTTTCATGCACCCATTATTTCTACACAATAAATAAAAGCCAAATGAGAAAATTTGAAGCCCCATTTCAAATTTCCTGCATCCAGAGTGAAAGTAGGAAGGATAGATTCGTCTGCACAATCACTTATTATTTTCTTATTTACAGAAAAAATACAACAGTAATGAGATTTGAACCGTGGTCTATTTGAACAAAAATAAGAAACATAACCAGTTACAATAAACACATTTGTGTGATCTTTTGCAATTAAAAACATACAGGAAGCTTAAATCTGGAAAAATATAGGAGTTTTCCACCAAGGTTAGCAACCGAAATGTCATTGATTCAAACATTGCATATCGAATTGCACTCTTGAATTTGTAGAAGCGATGTAGAATTCTTAACATAGACTTAATTGTTATAACTATCATAAAGTAACAATATTTTTAACACAGAACTTTTGAGTGAATATGGGGCACATGTGTCTTTAAGAGAGGGGTAAATATGGAAATGTTGAGTGATGTTGGTTTGCCGAACGTGGATGGAAAAAACACTACTAATGTAAATGGACCCAAATAGTTTCCCGACCCACTAAACACTCAACCATCATCGTCTCTCCAAACTTCTCATCAGACTCAACAACCAGCTAACCTCTTCTACCTCTATTATTAATCCAAAGCAATTTTTGGAGGGATAAATAAGGAAAGATTGAGTGTTGTTGGTTTGCTCAACGCAAATGGAAAATGTGCTACTAATGTAAACGGACCCAAATAGTGTCCGACCAACTAAACACTCAACCACCGGGTTACTTTTGCTACACCTAATATAAGAGTGAAATGTGAAAGGTGCTTCCCCCATTACAAAATCCTTGCATCCATAGCATAAGTAGAAAGGATAGATTCGTCTTCATAGTCATTTATTATTTTCTTATTTACAGGAAAAATACATAAGTTATGGGATTTGAATTGTGATCTCTTTGAGAAAAGACAAGAAACTTAATCAATTACACTAAACAAATTTGTTTAAAAAATTTAAATTAAAAATATACAAGAAGCTTAAATCTGAAAAATCATTGGAATTTTCCATCATAGTTAGCTAAGCCACTAACTCTCCCCTAAATAATTTTTTGGTATTTGATACTTCTATTTTCATACTTTGATTATTTTAATTCGAGTTTAATAATCAATTCTATTTTTATTTATTTTATAAAAGGAGAATAATTTTATAATTGCAAGCCTAATGTTATTGGTGCAAATATTGCATATCGAATTGCAGTATTGAATGTGTAGAAGCGATGCAAAATTCTTGACGTAGCTTAAATAATATAACTACCATAAATCAACAATATTTTTGAACATAGAAGTTTTGAGTGAATATGTGGTACATGTGTTTTTAAGAGAGGGGTAAATATGGAAAGGTTGAGTGATGTTAATTTGTCGAATGAGGATTGAAAAGCCGCAACTAATGTAAATAGGTCTAAATGGTGTCCCGACCTACATACTAATCGCTCAACCATCGCCGTCTCTCCAAACCTTCCCACCAGATTCGACAACCGCTAACCTCCTCCGCCTATATTGTTACGCAAAGCAATTTTCGGATGGGTAAATATGGAAAGATTGAGTGTTCTTGTTTGGAGAGCTGACTGGTGGGTTATTTAGTTTCTTTGACAGTAATGTGTAATCTCTTAACATCAGTTCATTTGGTTGATCTTCTATGTTGACTTTTGAGTTGATTAAAGATAAATAGTGTCCCGGGCTCCCGTCCTACTAAAGGCTCAACTATCACCGTCTGTCCAAACCTTCCCATCGGACTCGACAGCCGCCTAACCTCCTCCACCTATATTGTTATGCAAAGCAATTTTGGAGGGGTAAATATGTAAAGGTTGAGTGTTCTTGCTTGGAGAGCTTACTGATGAGTTATTTAGTTTCTTTGATAGTAATATATGAACTCTTAACATCAGTTCATTTTGTTGATCTTCTATGTTGACTTTTGAGTTGATTAAAGATAAATAACTATACTTTTTGTTGCTTTGTTATGATACTCCTTTTCAGTATCATCATTTTTATGATTTGAAATGTTTTCTAATAAATTGTAATCAACCACCCCTTTTCATCATTCGTAAACTCTAACAGATAAGTGACAAAGAAATCCACAATATCACTTCACTGTAACAATACAGTATTTATTGAAGATTGGTGGCTTTCTCTTCTTCTTGGTTAAACTAGCGTCGAAGATAGACAAAGAGGGGGTTTAAACAAGTGATAAGAGAAGGGCAGATTAAGAAATGAAAAACAGAGACCGAGAGGGGATAGTTGAAATTGAGGTTCGGGGGGAGGATGACATGCATGGAAAAGGTTTGCAGAGCTAAAATTAACATCAGGAAAACGAGGATGGAGAGAAGTGACTATCGGCGGCGATATAATTGAGATCGAGAGAGAGAAGTGAACCATGTGCCGGTGAGCACTGAGAAGCTTTTTCTAGGGATATAGGGGTTCCTTTAATCCTTTTTATTCCTCAGTGTTGGTAAGATATATACGAAATGGCAAAAACAATACTTCTTTTGTATTGCTAAAAAAAAAAAAATTAACAATAAAACTATGCATGAATTCTAATGGGCTAACCGCTAACCATAGAATAAAAGAGTTGAATGGGCCTGACCCATACGGGATTTGGCCATCAAGTAAAACAAATGAACATCATGGGTTTGTCATTCTAAAACAAGCTATTTTCTCAAGCATACATATATTATGCTATTATTTTATATCTGAGTGGCTAAATATAATGTATTTTAAAGTTATTAAAATGGTTCATCCTCGATCAACCAGATTAGTCTAATTTTTATAATTTCAAATATATATTAGGTAATTATTTGATATCTTAATGATTAAATTATAATGTATTTTATAGGCAATTTTTTATTCGGTTTTCTATAAACTTTACTCCACCTCATCATATTACAAGAAATAATACTGTTTCACAAGGTAACAGGTACTCGAACTTGGTTCATAAGGCTGATTGTTGATTCGTTGCATCATCCATGCCGCTTTCCTGCTAAAATTCACTATCTTTATAACGTGTTTCCCAAAAAGAATATACAACCAAAAGCTATACACCTTACTACATTCTCAAATTTCATACCTCACCTTTCTCCGGCCAACTGGCCGGGGCCACGCTAGTTTATAAATAAAACCAACTCATACAAAATGAAAACAAGTTTGCTATTCATAGCAGAAAAGAAAGAAATCAAATTTGCTTCCTACAAAAAGAAAAAAACCAAGTTCGCCATGACCAGGGTCGATTCGGTCAATAGCCACCCCGTAATTAGAATCCAAACTCAAGTTTGCTGCAGACAGTCCAGACTCCAGATTTTCAATATACACCACCTCAGAGAGGGGCAAAATGGTAACATCATCTTAGCCACCGATTCGCACTATCTTTATTACTCGACGCAAAAATCGCCTACACTCCACGAACACGCGCCCGAGTCCAACATTTCACCGCTGCCGCTTCTTTACTCTTTCACTCATGGCGGAGCAGAATCCATTGAACCCACCAAATCCAGGCCACGACTCCCTCGTCGACGGCAATGTCCTGGCCGCCAAATCCTTCGCCCGGTGCGGCGTCAAGCACATGTTCGGCGTCGTCGGCATCCCGGTCACCTCCTTCGCCAATCGCGCCGTCTCATTCGGAGTCCGCTTCTTCGCCTTCCACAACGAGCAGTCGGCTGGCTACGCCGCCTCCGCCTACGGCTACCTCACCGGCCGCCCGGGCTTGCTGCTCACGGTTTCCGGCCCAGGTTGCGTCCACGGACTGGCCGGTTTGTCGAACGCCATGGCCAATACGTGGCCCATGGTTATGATCTCCGGCTCTTGCGACCAGAGCGACGCCGGCAGGGGAGATTTTCAGGAGCTCGATCAATTGGAAGCTGTGAAGCCCTTCTCCAAGTTCTCGGTAAGAGCGAAGGATATAAAAGACATACCTAATTGTGTTGTTCAGGTGCTCGATTGGGCTGTTTCCGGCCGCCCCGGTGGCTGCTACTTGGATCTCCCAACCGATGTGCTTCACCAGACTTTGACGGAATCGGAGGCCGAGGAATTGTTGGCTTCTGCGATAGATGGCGCCGACAGGAAATTGATTGGAACAGAGATTGCAAGGTCAGAAATTGAAAGAGCAGCGGAGTTGTTGAAAAAAGCCGAGCGGCCGTTAATTGTGTTTGGTAAAGGCGCGGCTTACGCAAGAGCGGAGACCGAGCTGAAGAAGCTGGTCGAGAGGACTGGAATCCCGTTCCTGCCGACGCCGATGGGAAAAGGTTTGCTCCCAGATACGCACGAGCTTGCAGCAAGTGCGGCGAGGTCGCTCGCAATCGGGAAATGCGACGTTGCGCTCGTGGTTGGGGCGAGGCTCAACTGGTTGCTGCATTTCGGGGAACCGCCCAAATGGTCCAAGGATGTGAAGTTCATATTGGTCGATGTGTCTAAGGACGAGATTGAGTTAAGAAAGCCCCACGTAGGTGTAGTTGGGGATGCCAAAAGGGCACTGGAGTTGCTCAATGTGCAGATCAAAGACGACCCTTTCTGCTTCGCGAGGAATCATCCGTGGGTGGAAGGGATATCCAAGAAGGCGAAGGATAATGTGTCGAGGATGGAGGCTCAGCTGGCGAAGGATGTGGTGCCGTTCAATTTCTTGACGCCGATGAGGATTATCAGAGATGCAATTTCGGGTATGGGGAGTCCTGCTCCGATTGTGGTTTCGGAAGGTGCTAATACAATGGATGTGGGGAGATCAGTGTTGGTTCAGAGTGAGCCAAGGACTCGATTGGATGCCGGGACTTGGGGGACAATGGGAGTTGGGTTGGGTTATTGCATTGCTGCTGCAGTTGCTGAGCCTGATCGGCTTGTGGTTGCAGTTGAAGGTGACTCCGGATTTGGGTTCAGTGCTATGGAAGTTGAGGTAGAAGCTCTCAGTCACCATTCATTTTCTCATTGCTTCTGGTTTCTTTGTGCGACCCTAGTATTTACCTTTGCTTCCTATCAAATGTGCTTGTCTCTGTGTTTATATGAAATGACATACTTGACTGGTGTAATTCAATATTGCTTGGAAAGTCTGTTTAGGAGTTTGATACGTGTTATTAGATTCATGTGCTTAATAACGCTATGATTTGTTTCTATAGTTACTGTGACTTGATAGCCCAGATGGTTGTGGAGTGACCTTGCAGAGATAAACCAGCCTTCTTGGCAAATGCTGGTTGCTCATATCTTAGGACATCATGTCCTCTGACATTCAGTTAACGAATTAATAATAAGAGGGATTGTGTGTTTTTTTTAATACTCTTTCTGCTTGCAGAGACACCATTAAGGGGTTCAATGAAAGTGAAAATAGAACATTTTCGCATTCGCATTCATTTTCTTGGAGTGTTGTTTGTGAACTTTGGTCAAGAAATTGTGCACCTAGCTCTTCTTTGCAATATATCTTTTGATCGTGCTAAGATGGTAGGTACCTCAAATGATTGATTTCTCCTTCTTGACATGGGCTAAGCTGCTGTAGATTTTGAGTTTCTCACATTTTCCCCTTGTCCGACTTCATAACTTGCGTATCTTGACTGCTGCTTGGACTTAAACATCTTGTGTCTTGATTATCTCCAGCTTGGACTTAAACATCTTGTGTCTTGATTATCTCCAGACATTGGTACGCTACCAGTTGCCTGTGGTGGTGATAGTTTTCAACAACGGCGGTGTATATGGAGGAGACAGGAGAAGCCCTGATGAAATAAAAGGCCCCTTCAAAGATGACCCGGCACCCACTTCCTTTGTCCCTGGAGCCGCCTATCATCTTCTAATTGAAGCCTTTGGGGGCAAAGGTTATCTTGTTGGAACCCCTGATGAACTCCGGTCTGCACTCACAGAATCTTTCTCTGCAAGAAAACCTGCAGTTATCAATGTCACAATAGATCCTTTTGCCGGTGCGGAAAGTGGGAGGATGCAGCACAAGAACTAAGGTATATAGCCTTCCCCCACCCTGTTTCTGTCTGTATTCCCTCTATTTTGTATCTGTGGACAAGCTGGCCTTTGTGTGTTCCCTTTCACTAATGCTGTAAAATTTCATCTGATGCTATATGTTCCCTGTTAGGTTCTTTTGTTTGTACGCAGTTTGGTGTTTCCGGGCGGTATGCCAACTAATTTGGTGGTTCAACGTGCAAGGTGGATGGAATATTAGCTTTGGTGGGTGTTTTCTGTAAGGTTTCTAAATACGCCCTTACTCCTTACGTTCGAAAGATTGATTCCTTGTTACACACAGCTGAACTCGTCTTCTTTGTCTTCTCCTCTCTCCGAGTTTACAAGTAACAGGATCGTCGGGGATAATATGTGTTTTGTTATTTGAATGTAACCATGTTCGGGATTAGATTATTTTTCACAGCATTGGCGTGTATTCACTATTTTTAGAAGAGCCTTGGTCTGGTTTGCTGCCTATCAGAGCTCATGAGAGCTAATAGAAGCTTGTTGGATCTTTGAGAGGTGTCCAAGTTAGCTCATGATATCTTAATGGAGCTAAATGGAGCTTGTTGTAAGCTAAAAAGACTAGGGTCGTTTAGTGGGGGCATTGTATTATATCATGAGTGTATTTTGTAGTCTCTATGGTGATACGCGATCTAGGGCGGTTAGTGTATTGACTATGAAGAATGTTCTCGCTAGGTGTGGAGGTTCGGTTTCCTGTTATCGGTTAACCGTTGGTTTTAACTGAAACCGACATATCTCCACCCCTAGTTCTCGCCATGATACTCAAAATCATTCGATTTGTTTGGATATTACGCCTGCTGCTATTTGTCGTGTGTTTTGCAACTCTGCAACTGTTTCTCACTGTTTAAAAGTTTTTTATGGGTGAATTACTGAATTGTATCTTATACATGAAAACCTCTAAGTAGAACGACTTGGCATTATCCATTATGAAAGAAAGGAAGTAGTCTTAAGATTTCCAAGTAGGTTCATCTTGTCCTCGTCATGATATTCAAGGCTAGTCGATATATTTGAATACCGTGCTTGCTACTATTTGTCGTGAGTTAAACTCTAAAATTGTGTCTCACTGTTTAAAAGTTTTCAATGAGTGAACTATATCTTTATACATGAAAACCTCTAAACATGAAAACCTTTAAGTAGAAGGACTTGGCATTATTCATTATAAAAGGAAGTAATCTTAGGATTTCCAGGTACGTTCTTCTTGTGCTCAATTCATTTCACACCTGCATAAAACTCTTACCAACCTCATTTAGAGCATCCACGTCAATACAATTGTAAAAGTAATTGCATTTGTATTCTTTATTGCCAACTCAATTTTTTTCAATCCACATCAAATCAATTTCATTCACCTACATCAATTAACTTGTAATTGCATATGTAATTAAATATTATATTTAAATGATACAAAATAATATAAAAAATAATATATTATTAAAAATCTCTATTTTTTGCAGGGCTTTTTGACTTGCATATGGAATTGCATTTGTTGCAAGCTTGTAAATATGCAATTGGTAGTCACATCAATGCAGTTGGTGTTGCAATTGCAAACAGCCATTACATGTCATCTTACAATTGAAAATGCAATACCAATGTGGATGTTCTTAGCGTCACATGCACGAGTATAATTCTATTAATGAAACTAGTGGAAGATCCATTTCTCGATAATGAAAATTTGGGCATTTTCAATTTATCATTGGTACATTTATTATGTACTAGTATCATTTAGTAGCTACTGGAGCTACCACGGATTGAGCTTGATTGCTATGAGGGCTCCCCCTAAGCATTGGCAAATTGGAATAATGATAGAACTGCCAAATTAATTGTCGAAAGCTAACCAACTTGATATCTAGCTAACAAAAATGTGATGTGGTTTGTCAAGATAATTGATTTCTGAAACGGGAGGAACAACAATAATAGCGCTATCCAAGCTTGGTCACCATTACGTGACCTTGTCACAGTGTAAATGGCCAAGAATGGAATACAGCCCATCCCTTCGATACTTTTTCCCCCGATCTTGTCTGCCTATCTTCTTCTGTGTCTTCACCATTATCTTGCTTTTTTAATCTTTTTGTCATACATTATTGTCGGGTAATTAATCAAAATGATCACAAAAGTTTGACATAATAATAAATTAATAAATGTTCTAAAACTTTAGAAACCAATCATTTCGTGTGTTTCCATTCATATTTCTAACCAAACTGCTGTTTAGGTGGTAGGTTTAAGTGTTGGTAATGTGTTTAATCTTAGTAATTTTTGCAGCGAGTCAGCAATCACCCTCTACATTTTTTGTTTTATCCCAAAATTATGTGGACAGTTTGAATGAGAATATAGATGCAAAGTGAAGAAATAACCGTTTGGATTATAAGGCAATACTTATAGGGTGGTGCAACAGTTCGGTCCGGTTCAAATTAATGAGAATCGCAATCCATTAGCGAAAGACATTTTAGGACCAAGGACCGGACCATCATTGCGTTCCGTCATTTGGTCCGGTTTGTTCCGGTCCAAATATCAGCTCGATCCATCATTTCTTTAGTAATTGTAAAATTCATATGAACTAAGAACCCGCTCGCATTATATTCGGTCCGGTGCGGTCCGATCTCGGACCAGTTCAAATTAATCTTTTTAGTATGTTTTAAATGTTTGTAACCACTTTATTACTAGTTAAAACCTACTCCAGAAAGTCTATCCCTGGATAAACGTGCATTCAATTAAGAGCAGCTGCTGCTGTCTCCTTATCTTCTAAGTCCCAATTTTAACATCCCCTGTCCTGTCCTTTAGTTATTTACTCTGTATTTCCCCCCACCACTCTGCCCCAATTTCCTGCCTGCCCACCACAGCTTTACGTTTCCAAAACGTTCACTCTCACAATTAATAGTCTCGTTCTCGATTCCCCACTTCCCACCGTCTTCCTCTTCCTCTCTCTATGCCCAGAGAAAAGCTCTGAAGTCTGAACCAGTTCCTTTTCGCCCCTGTTTTCCCACCCAGAGAAACAAACACCTGCTGGAAGTAGCATGGATCATTCTCCGTTGCTGGAGAAGCTACAGCAGCTACCTCCGTCACACGATGACGACGAAGTAGCACATCATCAGAACAATCCAGGGCGGAAGAAAATGGATGTCTTGCTTGACCAGCTCAAGAAGGTGACCCGAATGGCCGCTCCCATGGTCGTCGTCTCCGTCACCCAGTACCTCGTCCAGGTCGTCTCGCTCATGATGTCCGGACACCTCGGCGAGCTCTCCCTCTCCGGCGTCGCCATCGCCACTTCCTTCACCAACGTCACCGGCTTTGCCCTCCTGGTACATAAGTTATATGCATATCAATTCTTTCGCTAAGATTTCGAATAGCTGTCCCGAATTCAAGTCCCCCACCGGACGATCAACCGAACAAATTTCCAAATCAGAAACTAACTATTATTGTCCCCTCGCCAGTTCGGATTGGCAGGAGCGCTCGAAACGCTGTGCGGACAAGCGTACGGGGCGGAGCAGTACTGGAAATGCGGGACCTACACCTACGCCTCCATCATCTCCCTCGTCCCGATCTGCGTCCCAGTCTCGATCCTCTGGTACTACGTCGACGACATCCTCGTTTCGATCGGGCAGGACCCGGAGATCGCGAGCGTGGCCGGGCAGTACGCCGTCTGCTTGATCCCTGCTCTGTTCGGCGACGCTGTCTTGCAGCCGCTGAACCGGTACTTCCAGTCCCAAGGGCTGACGCTCCCGATGCTGCTGAGCTCCGTGGCCGCGCTCTGTGGTCACGTGCCGGTCTGTTGGGCTCTGGTGTACAAGTTTGGGCTCGGGAACGTTGGGGCCGCTCTGGCGATTGGGCTGGCCTACTGGTTCAATGCCGGGCTGCTGGTTCTGTACATGAGGTGGGCTGGTTCGTGCGAGAAGACGCGTGGGATGTGTTGGGATGATTTGGGGGCGAGTGTGACGGAGTTCTGGAGGTTCGCTGTCCCTTCTGCCGTCATGGTCTGGTTAGTATATTTCTAATACTCTGGGTAGACCGTAGTTCGGTATATATGATTAAAACCGGTCAGGATATCGCAGTTCTTAGGTTGAACCTAATTTGAATTTGTGCTATGCTTATATTGTAGTTTGGAATGGTGGACGTTTGAGCTGCTAGTCCTGCTGGCTGGATTGCTACCCGATGCAGCGCTTGAGACTTCGGTCCTTTCCATTTGGTAACCAATTTTCTCGGTTTGTTTTGGTTTATCAAAATTGCTAATTGAATGGTTAGTGATGACTAATTGTTGCTTTTTCTGATTCGACTTACAGCCTGACAACTACATCGCTTCACTACTATGTGCAATATGGAATTGGAGCGGCGGCCAGGTTAATTTTATACTATATCAAAAAATCAACCTATGTCGAAAAAAATTCCGGACTTTGAAATTACGAAAATGGACTAAAAATATGGGAGGAAAAAACTTGTGTCTCCAACAGCACTGGGGTGTCGAACGAGCTGGGGGCGGGGAATCCGGAGAAAGCCAAAGCAGTGATCCAATCCGCGGTGGGGATTTCGATTCTGGAGGCGGCAATCGTCAGCACCACGCTCTTCTGCTGCCGCAGCTTCTTCGGCTACGTTTTCAGCAACGAGAAGGCGGTGGTGGCGTACGTGGCCGACGTGGCTCCGCTGCTCTGTCTCTCCGTCGTCGTAGACAGCTTCCTCGCAGTACTCTCCGGTACGTGTAGTTACTTTGGTGAAATGTGTATAAAGATAGGAGCCTCTCTCCTGAGGGCATTGCCCTCTTAGGGTGACCGACTTTTGTGGGAGAGGGAGGACCTAACGGACACACACACCCGCGCGCGCCGTCCATCCGACCGGTTAGTTCGGTTGGGTGGGTGGGTCAACTTGTTGAGACTATATTTTTTTTTTGGAGAATTGGTTATCCTTTATCCTAGATAAATACGAGTTGGAAGAGGATAATCGATTAAAAGGAATGTTCGAAGGATAATCCAACATGATTTATCTTAACTTACTCGGTTTTAATTAAGGAGTAATTATCTTCTTAACTACCGTGACTTATTCCTCACGAAAGAGGAATATTCTGGGGGATTCGGCTCCTATAAATAGCCGACTCCTCAGACCCTCTAAACATACCACAACGAGTAGGAACACAATAGAGAGAGTGTTCATAGAGCTCCGGTTTTCGCACAAAACCGCCGAGCATACTAGCGGAGCTGCTTTAACCTGGAGACGACCGGTTGATAGTTTGTCGTGCGTATCGAGGGCATTGCCGCGAACGTCTTTAAGAGATCGACCTAGTCCGCGACTCAGCTCCAGATAGATTCGATAACCTCCGTTCTTGATTGTTGTTCCGTTTCTAACAAAATGTGGCATGCAGGAGTAGCGAGGGGGAGCGGGTGGCAGTACATAGGAGCGTATGTAAATCTAGGAGCGTACTACGGCGTCGGGATGCCGGTGGCGGTGCTGATGTGCTTCGTCTTCCATCTCGAAGGGAAAGGCCTGTGGGTTGGGATACTGACGGCATCGACTCTCCAAGCTGTTTTGCTTGCTTTCATCACTGCCTTCACCAATTGGGATAGACAGGTTCTCTGTTCCTTTCCGTCAAATCATCCCTGAATTTAGTCACTACTCTACTGATTAGCTATTAGTTAACAACTACTGTGTTGTTTTCTATTGCAGGCAGAGAAAGCCAGAGAGAGGATATTTGATGGGAATATAATTTTGCCAGCATAATTGAGGCGGGACAGGAAAAAAAAAAGGCATAAAAGACTAAAAGAGAGATGCTCAGAAATAATAGTGTCGATTGTCCGTGATGTGCAATTTTGATTAAACAAAGAATTAATGATGATGAAGAAGCCCCGCGGATCCAGACGAGGCGATCCTTGTGTTGTGCTTGCTTCTAATCACAGACCCAAAAGCAATATTATTCACAAGAAAAAATTGCTTCAGTTTGTTTCAGCTCGAATCAATTAGGCTTAAATATACAATTCAAAAAGTATAATATTAGATTATTGGATTACACGCACAATACAATCAAAGCATTCACCCAAGTATTTATATTTCCAGTATAAATTTGGCATGGACCTCTGCCTTTTAGTTTACATCTTTACCCAGGCAGCATGAGGATGATTTGATTTATGGGAAAATTGATTGGATTTTGAGTGAAAATCACTCAGAGCAATCAACTGGAACATGGTTCTAACAACTAGTTGGTTTCGATAGCCAGTTGTTGATAAATTTATTAGGATCGATGGATTGACGAAGATTTTCACTCCACTGTAAGGGAGGATCTTGATTCTCAAGTCGATTGACAAATATGTACTTTGATTATTTTCGAGTCGATTCAATCAACGGGTGTAGCACCGTGCTCGACGTGTATGGCAATATCATGTATGTTTTATTCAAAAAAAAAATTTTATAGTTCTAGCCAGTTAGGCTTAAGGTTGTTGGGATCATTTAATGGCTGCGCCTAAAACTTACTACACTAAATTAGGAAAAATATAACCAGTCTAGAACTATAGTATATAGTGACGATCAATGTGGTATTTCACGGGGTCTGTAGTCTGTACATATACTTCTACTATGAGCTATGGTTCTATCTAGCTAGTCGATTTAATGTTCAGTTATCGCTACTTCTAATTAAACAAAAGCAATCAAAGTAAGAAAATAGGTTAGTTCAAAGATTGGAAAAACACTTCGGGGTGGTAATCCCCTCACGGATTGAGTATTATCCAGACATGATCCGCACTAGGCAGAGTAACATTCGAGCGAAAGTAGCGTGGGGCGGACATGTGTACTACTTTCAATTGAACCTCTCCCAACAAATTAAGTTATTGTGACCAATAAGTTTTTGACATGGTATAAAAAGTGTACATGTGGGTTGGGTGATTCAACTCTAGTTGTTTTAGTCACCCGACCCGTACACTTCGATTTTGAAAACACTAAATCCAAACCCACCCAAAATATTAGAACTAGAGGTGGCAATTCACCAATCCAATCCACCAACCCATTAAAAATATTCACCTAATCCAATCCATTTAAATCCAATCCATTTGATCCAAATCCAATTGGATTGGTGGATTCATGGATTGATCCATGAATCCAAATGACAAATTACGGTTTGGTGCCTATACTTTTTATATTTTACATTTTGGTACTCAAAAATTAATTTTTATACGAAAATATCATTGAAACAATACGTTTTGGTACCTAAAATTTTTTATTATGACATTTTAGTACCTAAACTTTTCACATTTTACATATTGGTCCTTGGTTGAGGATGTCATTTGGATTCATGGATAATCCACCAATCCACGTGATCCAATCCATGAATCCACCAATCCATTGGATCCATGGATCCACCAATCCATGGATCAATCTATTTGCCACCTCTAATTAGAACCTTACGGTTTGTTTATAATTGGGTTGAGTCGGTGAACTATACATTTGAGTAAAAGTCCAACTCAACACGAAAAATGCAATTATTTTGCACCATAAAAAGATTATATAACCAATTACATGTCAAGTAAATAAACAGAAGTGAAAATCATCAAAATGCGTAGAAGTTGTGGTCCTTAACTCGTTGAAGTAGAGTTTTTTCAATCTATGTCTAATACTAGCTTTTTACCCGACCCGTTGGTCGGATGAATTTAGTTTTATTTATTATATTAATTTATTTTTTCATATTTTCAAATAATTTGGGATCATCTAAATAATTTATTAGTGGGTTGAAACTAATATTTTTGCAAATTATTGATTGTAACATTAGTTAGTTTATAAGTATTTGTATTGATCATGCTATCGCTTACTGTTGTCTATATATTTTTTAAATCTAAGAAAAAAATCACTTCCTATTGTTAGAATAAATTACTTAAAAAATATTTCTTCATAAAATTTGATATTATTCACTTATTTTTCTATTATATCCATGAAAATAAAATAATTAAGCATTGAAGTATTAATTATAAACTCCAAGGGATTTTCCCTATTAGTAATTTGGAGGGATAAAAATTTATCAAATAAAGGATTCAAATTTTATGGTCGACAACCATTAGGTACTAATTGAGAAAATACAAAATTATTAACTAATAATTCACTTTTAAATAATATATATCTCCAAAAGCAGTTGTGGTTGTTAATAGCTAACATTAATGTATACGGATAGTACAATTGTATTATAATGGACATATCTGAAATATTCCAATTATTTCTTCAAAATTTTAACTAAATAAGGCACTCTATAGTTCAAACATACAATCATTTGTTGTGAAAATTAAGTTTCTGAAAAAGATTCATGATTTTCGGAAATCAATATGGATTTTTTATAATTGATTTTGGTGTTGCCTTTGATATCTAAAAGTCAACACTTATAGATTTGTCTACTATGTCATTTGAAAGATTCTAAAAATTTAAAACAAATATGTACCACCAACAAATAAAAACTTTTTTTTCAAAAATTTGTGTGCCCATAAATTTGTTCTTAGCTTTGTGCTCGGCTTTTAGCTCGATAGTATAACATATGCTAAATTTACGACAGTCCTTGTGTCTGCCACCTATTTCATAGCATATTAGGTTTCGAGTATCCACAAATATTAGTACGCTTTCAACAATTATGTTTATAGTTACACGTATACTAACATTATGAAGTGAAAATTTACAAAAATAAATAACTATAATAAATAAAATTAATTAAAAAGAATACCATCCGTAAAGCTCAAGAATTATTAGTGAATTAGTTGGTAATCTATTATCCTCTTGCAAAAAAATGGACAATTACATTATTCTCATCGCTATTTTTGGAAGGTCAGATGATCAACAATAAAAGTCGGGGAATTTCAAGAAGATTCCCAAAGATGTTTCCCTCCCTCCAGGCAAATGATCGACTTTGCTTTTGCTAGTAGAGAATGGAGCTGTTATACCTGCATAAAACAATGTCTCTTGAAATAGTGTTTATTTTCAACAACTTGCACAATTCCAAATTGATTCATAGGTCAACGCGATCACATATTTTATTGACTTATTTGTTGATCATTATAATTAGAAGCAACAAATAAAAGGAAAAGCATAGTGATAAAGATGACTATTAATACCATAGACCGATAGACGCATCCCTCTTCGCTACTTTCTGTTGGCAACTATGGAAAAATAGAAACCTCTGGGCATTCGAGAGACTATTGGCGCCGACAACCCAGTTAGCCTACCAAATCCGGCAAATGCGAGTGCAGATTGATCAATCTTCCAGGAGGATTGGGCAGGTTCTCGGGGAGGCTACAGAGCGGGTGGAAAGGGGAAATAGAATAGGGTTTGGGATTTTCACAAAAAGGCTACAATTTCCCCTTTATTAGTTGTTCTGGGCATCGCCAACCAAAGTGAAAACGCGTCTCCGAGTGCCCAGGTGTCTAGATCAATCGCCCAGAGCTAGACTGGGCGATTTCCTCCTGCCCAGCTATTAATCGCGCCTAGGCGAGAGATTAATCGCGTCTTCTTGAACACTGAATAAAAGTGGACCAAACAAAGACATTACATCCAACTCATTTCAGTTCCATCTTAACACAGTATCAGAGGCATATACTATTATTATACAAATGATCTTACACTCTCAATTAGGAACTAAACGAAGGTTAAATGCTTGATTGGCAAACTAAATCGATGAACCTAGTGATCTTAAAGAAAAAATTAATGATCACATGATTTCTTGGACCAAACTACTAAAGGAAAAAAAGAAAAAAGAGACCGTACATTAGCATAAGAACTCAACAAATTACTTATAAGAACTAATGACATAAGGAAAATGTAAACTCAAACCGTTCTTCCGAAGGTCATGGATTAAATCATTAGTTGTCGATTACATAGCCTAAACTGCAAGTTATATCCAAAATAGAGGCAATTTAGAAACAAAAAAGTTAGATAAGAAAGCCGTGAAACACAGAAAAATTGAGTGAACAAAGTGGGAAGTATTGCTTTCAATTAAGCTTGATTATGTTGACATAAAGTAGGCACACATTGACGTTGGAAACCTAAACAAAAAGCTTAAAAAGTGGCAAGAGAATTCTTCCCTTGAGGTTCAAATATAACCTACCTATATGAGTAGAGCCAAGTAATTACCATGATTCCATTTTACACATACCATCTCACAACCAACTGCTGCTAATGCTCTGGTCCGTTCCAAACCTCACCTACTCATATCTCCAATACCATATCACGAAACTAAGAATTATACAAAACTAAAAGATCCAATAAGGAGAGTAACTTAGCATGGAACTTTGTGATGAGGGCAAATTCTATGGCCAGTATTAAGCTGTGCAAATTATATCACCTCTGCAAAGCTCACTACTTCCAGTAGTTTCTCACAGAACCAGCTACCGTCCTAATCCCTTCCTTCCTTCCTTCCCAGGGCAGAGTGTGAAAAATGGCGTCCATCTCCGCCAAAACCACAGCTTCTTCCTTCATCCATGCATCTCTCCGTCGCAACCCCTCTCTAGGGGTTTCCTCCGCCCCAGTTCTCGGTGAGTACTCTTGACGCCCCCCTCCCCTGAAATTCACAATTACCTCTGGCTTTTATCAATTCAGCTTGGGGGGAACCAAGAAATTGAATCGATTGGGTGATATGCAGGGCTGCCGTCGATGGCGAAGAGAGGGAGAGTGGTGAAGTGCTCGGCGGAAGGAAACGGAAGCAACGGCAGCGGGTGGGAGAAGAAGGGGATGATGAGCGCTTCGCTGATGGCGGCGGTGGCCGCAGCAGCTGCGTCGAGCCCAGCGGCGATGGATCCTCAACGGATGCGAGTAGCTGGAGCGATTTGTAGCGACCTTCTAGAGGCTGAAGCAGAGAAGAAAAAAGAAGCAGGGTTCGTGGCGGCGGGGGAGACGGTGGTGGCGGCGGCAGTAGTTGTGCTTCTCGCCGGAAGGGAAAGCCTCGATCGTCGACAACCTCTTCGCCACGGAGATCGTTCGCTGCACTCCCAAACGCGATCTCCTCAGTCGCAGCAGAAGCGGGCCGTCACTGCTTTCCGCCACTGACCACCAAAACGTCTGGTTGTCTTCCCATGAACTCAGCAACAGTCGGCCGTCAGCGCCTTCCTCCGCTGAACATGAAACCGTGACGCCCTCTTACCAGAATTTTCCGATGGAAACTGATTCTCCTCCTGCCCTGCGGGTAGGCGAAAGAATAACGTGGGAACCCAGTAGAAAAGGTGGTATTTCAGCCAAACGAAAATTAAATGAAAAATAAATAATAAGTAAATGATAACGTGGGAAACCAGGAGAAAAAGGTGGGTAGTGGACGATTCTTAGTTCTGCAATCTGGCGGGGAGTTCTATTTTTTTCCCGCTCAACACCCTGCCACATCAGCTTCCTAAAATCACTCTATGGACAGGAAAATTTGAATGGGGGTGGCAGTTTTACTTTTCAGCTATAAATTATACTGTTGATTTTTCATAAACATTTACTGAAATATTTTAAATAGGTCATTCATTATAAGCTAACACATCTATAATATATTATACTTCTAAAATTGTGCATAAAAAATGACAAAGTGTGAGACATATCCTCTATTAAATATATGGGCAAAATTTTAGTTGAATTATGCATCAGATTAGTACCATGAGAGAAAAATGTGATAAAAATATTAGGGGTGGAAGTTTGGATTGCGGGTTGTGGATAATCCGCAAACCGCACCAACCCGTACCTATTGTGGGTAACCATACCCACAAGTTGTGGGTAGTGGGTTGGGTATGGGTAGTAAAATAACGGTTTTTGTGGTTAGTGGTTATCCACTACCCACCGTGGTTAACCCATAAAATCCCCAATAACCACACTAATTATATTTATTTAGTGAATTAACTTTATAATATAATAATATGTGAAAAGTGTGAGGATAAAAATTAAAGTAGCCACCAAATAAAAAAGACACACCTAATAAGTTTTATGTAAGAATTTTTTAGTTTATAAAACACTATAATCGATAGAGTGGAGAATAATCAATTCATTAAAAGCGAACACCTTCTGTAACTTTTATCAGTATGTTTTTGCTTTTGTGTGAAAAAATACAAGATCATATTTAATTGTCATATTTCACCCCTAGTCGGAGAAATATGAAATCACAGCTCTCTGACACAAAAGTTGAATATCAAACTCAAAAAGAAAAAATCTTCACGTTGAGTAAGATCGATGTACAAAATTGTATCTCCACGAACAACACAAGTGTATATCACTATAGTCTAGTTACGAACAACAAATACGTTAGTGGCGCCTAGAACTCTATGCTTGCAAAGATGGATTTTTGCGGGTAATCACACCCAACCCGCACAAACCTACAGTGGGTAGTGGTTACCCACTAACCACTGCGGTGCGGGTTGTGGGTAGCATAATTGTAAATTTGTGGGTGTGGGTACCCGCAAAATGTGGGGCGGGTAACCACACCCACCCCAATTTCCATCCCTAAAAAATATCATAACTTTCTCACAAATATGTCTGTATACAATAAGAATACATTTTGAATACGGACATTTAGGACAATATTTTTTGTTGGTAGAAAAATGGGACGCTAAAAGGGTGCCCCTGTAGGACAATATTTGTAACACAGATTAAGCGGGTATTTATGACGTAACCCAAAACCCTGGCTCTACCTAAAAGAGATTGGTTTCTTAAAAGAAAACCCCCACCCTATCTTAAACCTTAATTTTAACAATAAATACGAGTAAGTTGAGTAGAGGTAACAATTTATAATCCAATCCAATCCAATCCATCCACATAAATATCTAACTAATGCAACTCATTTAAATTCAATTCATTTGATCCAAATCCGATTGGATTGGTGGATACATGGATAGAATTCATGAATCGTTGGCAAATTACAGTTTAGTACTTATATATTTTATATTTTACAATTTGGTACCTAAAATTTATTGTTTATACAAAAATGTCATTGGAAACTTACGTTTTAGTACCTAAAAATTTTATTATGACATTTTAGTACCTAAACTTTTAAAATTTACATATTGGTCCAAGACTTGGATGTCATTTGGATACATGGATCAATCCACCGGTCCATATGATCCAATCCATAAATTCACCAATCCATTTAATCCATGGATCTACCAATCCATTTGCCACCTAGAGTTGAGTTACAGTTCATTTTGCTCATCCCTATATGGTATTTGAGTCTTCATTTATTAGGAGGTCTTGTGTTCGAATTACAACAACACCATTTTTTAATAACATGAGTTTTGGACTTGTGCAAACTCTCAAGACGACATGAGTTTATTTTTGTTTGAGAAGCGTGTTAGTAAATGGTATAACATACATAATTGAGCAGCTCTCAACAAATTAATTATCGAGACCAACTAGTTCTTGAGATATACACATTACTTGTATGGTAGCATCATACCACATGTATTTTTATCACATTGCATTTTACATACTACACAAACACAAGCTTGAGCAAATACTGTAAAAATGTAATTTAGATTACTTTAATACAATATCTCACAAAAAAATGGTTCAATAACGATGGAACACAGTGGTGCATGTCATAAACCAACTGATGCCAATGACTCTAGTTGTTGAAAGATACACATGTATGGTACTTAACCACTTTCTTACACGCCCCCTCAAATGAAAACCAACTCATGAGCTTGAAGTTTGCACAGGCCCGTCAACACCATGTGTTTTAAGACAACAATTAATATTGGGGGTCATGAGGATTTGAACACATGACCTCAAGGACAAACCAACTCTTATATAAATTATAATGTCATAAACCAAATAGTTTCAATAGCTCGAATTGTTGGAAGAGACTCATATATGATACTAACCATTTCTTTACAGTGCACATAATAATAATAATAATAATTATTATTATTATTATTATTAATAGTATTATTATAAGTGACCACGGAGTTAAGTCGAAATTCCCATCCCTATTTCTACTAGGTGACCACGGAGTGAGCTTTGATTGCTATGAGAGCTCTCCCTAAGCGTTGACAATTTCGAAGAATGACAAAGCTGCCAAATTAAGCTGAAAGCTCACCAAACTATTATCTAAGCTAACAATAATGGGGTTGATTGCTTGATGTATTTTCGAAGGTAGACATTTGTGAAAATGTACCCAATTCCAAATGTATAGTTTGTGTAGCAATTTTTAGATGGTAGATTTGGTCTTATTGTTGTGGTTACCGTTTTACCCTTCAACTATGCATTTTTATTGCTTAATAGTGCCAGAATTACAGATAAACCCATCAAATGTATCACAATCATATTCATACTTAATCGAGTTTCAGGTATTAACAGTTATTCATGGATAATAATTTATTTTTGTAACTTCAATCAACATATTAATAATTTTACATATACTAACACTACGTAAGTGAAAATTTGCACAAATAAACTACTAGAACAAAGAAAATTAGTTGAAAGCAAAAAAATGTCATGAAAATATTATATATGTATGATATAAATATTTTAGGAAAATAATGAATTTTTTAAAAATAATTATACATATGCACGTGTAGAACCAGGCGGGTTCGGGTTGAACAGTGAAAAAACTATGGCCACCCATCACCCAATCACCCATAATATTCATATTCAAGTTTTACCCTATATCCATTAAAAATCCTTTGAATTCCAATTTTACCCTACCCGATTAGAATTCGACCGGATATCCACGTATAAGATTATTCTTGTACTCCCTAAACCCAACAAATTTATGTCCTCAAAAAAGAAACACCAGCAGAAGAGAATATTAGGACAAGCTGAAAGATCCTTTAAATTAACAAGTTTCAACCCTTGCATTGCATGGACCTAATAGCTTATAACAACCTCATTTTTCACAAGCTTAGATGTATTGTTGAGAATGCATGTATAGTATTATACATGTATTGTCGAATTTGATGCATTGTAGAATACAACGTTTGGTATGTGTGATTGTGTATGTCGCATCAGCTAAAAGCTGAGACAAAACAATCTCAACTCAACTATCTCAACAATCACAACTAAAAGTTGAGATATAACAATCACTCAAAATGAGTGATAGTTTCTGTCACATCACAGAAACAATCCATGTATTGTTTCTACTAAAAAACCAAAAAAACGATGCATTGTAAACAATACATGCATAATGACAATCTCAACAAAACTATCGCAACTTCCAAACGAACCCTTAATTACATAACCCATAATCCACTAAACGTGGTTGCCAACTAATTAACTTCCCACACCATTCTCTCTCTACCTCTTTTTTATTTATACCCAGAAAAAGCTCTGAGAAGGAAAACTAAGTACTAGTGGTGGAAGTAATATTATGGAGTCTCTGGAGCTGGAGAAGCTGCAACTGGTACCGGACGACGAAGTAAGAGAAACAAACACGATCAGCAGCAGAGGGAAAAGGGATTTGTTGGTGGAACAGCTCAAGAAGGTGACACAAATGGCAGCTCCCATGGTTGTGGTTTCAGTGTCCCAGTACCTCGTTCAGGTCGTTTCCTTAATGATGTCCGGACACCTCGGCGAGCTCTCACTCTCCGGCGTCGCCATCGCCACTTCCTTCACCAACGTCACCGGCTTCGCCCTCCTGGTATGTATATTTATGGTTCCTCCCGTTTCCCTTTTTCCCCCTTCCGGTAGAAATAATTATTATAGGAATAGTTTCCGGTACAAAATTCTTTTCTTTCCTATTTGTAATAGTACAAAACTTGATCTAATGGTTGTAATTTGTGAAGAAAAGATCTAATGGTCCTATTATAAAGGAGCAAGGAGGAAAATTAGTGGACAACTTACCGGATTCGGATTTTGGAGCAGCCCGCGGATTTCGAGCTAAGCTGTCAAAGCACTTTTTAAATTTATTGCGAAAACTTCAACAAACCATAGCTCATTTGTTTTCAAGGTTGTCAACCCGCAGGTTGATCCAGATCCGGTCGAGCTAGTGGGTCAAGGGTTAACGGGTTATCCATTTTAGCCCGGAAATATGGAAATAGTCATTATATTGTACTTATCATGATAAATTATATCAAATTTCATTTAACATATGAGTAATAACATATACATTACACCAAAGTAACATATCGTACTTAGATCCAACATATAGTGAAAATTCATACACACTTATATAACATCAATATTCAAATGTTCAACTAAGGATTCCAAAGATTGAGTTGGGCGAAAAGAAAAATAAAAAAATAGGCGCATTTCGCAAACCAATGAAAAAAGACACAATTTGAACTCCAACACGATACCTGTAGCAGTCGATCCGGCGGTGTGTGCGGCCCGCTTTTCTCACCGGATCAGGGTTAAAGTGGGTCGACCTACGGGTTGAGAACCTTATTTGTTTTAAATCGAATTTCAAAATTTTTGCATAGAAATAAAATACTACATATCTTTATGGAAGTCCTTACTTAAATTGTGTTGGGAATAATTTGTTTCATCTAAATCATTAAATGAGGGATGAGTTATTTTTATTATCAAAATAAATAGTTATTTTCACCAAAAAAAAATAATTTATTTATTCTCACTAGAAAGCGTGAGCCAAAAAAATAGTAATAATAAAACCATGAATATATTAAAGGGATAATAAGCGTTTTGTGCCCCTGTACTATTGCAAGTTAACAAACATGCCCATCTACTATTGTTTTGCACAAACATACCCTAGAACTATGAAAACGTAACAAAAGTAACCTTCCGTAAAGATCTCCGTTAATTAACCGTTAAATCACATGAAAAATGACTTTTTTTTTTACCCCTCACTTATTCCATAATTTTTTTAAATGCAGTTATTTAATTTGGTTTAATTTTTCTTTTCTCCCTTTCCTCCTGAACTCTTATCCGACGACCGGACATTCACCCCGACACCGGCGGCCCTCCTGAGATGTGACGACGATTCGGTCATTGGGTCCAACTTTTACCTGACCGTATCCAACCAAACTAATCCGCAAAATCTTCACCTCTAGACCTGAATTCTACGAGAAGGTGGAAGCCTACACGTTTGTCAAACATGGACGACCGTCTAAGCCGCAAGGGAGAGAAAGGGGCTCTCCATGGAAAAATAATCACCTCTACTTTCAATTATTTAGTGTTGATAATGGTTCAAAACTCTGTCAGAATACGTAATCAACTGCCGTTGGAATGAGTTACGAAGAAGCCAAACCATGTTCTAGCTTGAAGGTGAGCAGGTACTCTTCGCCGCCTAACCATTTCAGAAACTTCCATCCTCGGCTGGTAAAAAAAACCTAAAATTTAGCCTAATTTATTTTTTAATTCCGATTTTGAAGCATTTTGTATTTATAAATTTTGTTGTTTTGCTTAAGTTCAATTTTTTTTTTCTTGGCCACCTGTGTGGTCGTCTTCTGGAAAGGAGAACCAGAGAAGATTGGTGTGGGAGTATCATGCGTGGGGTAGGGGAGAACAGAATAATTAAAAACAAACTATGAAACTACCAAGTTTTTTTTTTTTTGTTGGGAAAAAAACAATTGAGACGTAAATTAGCCATTTATTGTTTTCTTTAACGATTATTTAATGAAAATTTGATGGAAGGGCGTATTTGTTATCTTTTCATTGTCAAAGGATATGTTTGTGTAAAATAATAATAGAAGAGTATGTTTGTTAACTTGCAATAATACACGAGCACAAAATGCTATTATCTCTATATTAAACTATTATTTGTTGCAGTTTGGATTGTCGGGAGCTCTTGAAACGCTGTGCGGGCAAGCGTACGGGGCAGAGCAGTACAAGAAATGCGGGACGTACACTTACTGTTCCATCATCTCCCTCCTTCCAGTCTGCATCCCAGTCTCGATCCTCTGGCGCTTCATGGACGACCTTCTAGTTTCAATCGGCCAAGACCCAGAGATCTCGAGGGTGGCCGCCCAATACGCCGTCAACTTGATCCCTGCTCTGTTCGGCGATGCTGTTCTGCAGCCACTGAATAGATACATGCAGTCCCAAGGGCGGACCCTCCCCATGCTCCTGAGCGCCGTGGCGGCGCTCTGTGGGCATGTCCCAATCTGCTGGGCTATGGTCTATAAGTTTGGGCTCGAGAACGTTGGGGCGGCTCTGGCTGTTGGGCTGGCGTACTGGTTCAATGCCGTTTTGCTGATTTTGTACGTGAGATGGGCTTCTTCGTGTGAGAAGACTCGTGGGATGTGTTGGAATGATTTTGGGCCCAGCGTGAGGGAGTTTTGGAGATTCGCTGTCCCTTCTGCCGTCATGGTCTGGTTAGTATAAATTTGGTTGAACCGGACTAACATAGTCAAACTGGTGCGAGGTTTGCACTGACCAAATCAATTTGGGGGTTGGAACGCGACCAAATCAAGCATTCTAATTCCAGAAGGGACACATCCATTTGATTTATTGGCGGTTGCATTTTCTTGGATAAAGACAACATTTCATATGGATAAAAACAACATTTCATGAAACAATGCATTGATTCAACCCCTATAAATGTATGTGTGGAGACGAATGATGCTAAACACGATCAAAGTGATCTTTTTCTTCTTCTGCATCTTCTTCCGGAAATTTTAAATTTTGCTTTAACGTTCTTAAGCCTAGAACCTAAAATGGTGATAGTTTTATCATCGGGAGAAATTTCCTGTGACCCAAGGTTTTGTAGACGACGATAATTTTCTTTTCAGAAGTGAACATAATTCACGACTCTATCACAATTCTAGTCTTCCGATTTCGAGCTATTGTACCTAGATACTCTCATTCATAAAGTCCCAACAGAGAATTCCTAATAGCATGTGTACTTATACCGTAGCCTGGAATGGTGGACTTTTGAGCTACTTGTCCTGCTGGCTGGATTGCTACCTGATGCAACGCTCCAGTCTTCAGTCCTTTCCATTTGGTAAAACCAGTTTCCTCAAATTCTTTTTTTTTTTTTGGGTTTTCCGAAATTGTCGATTGAGTGGTTATTAATTATAACTAATAGCTATTGCTTTTCTGATTCCACTTGCAGCGTTACAACTACTTCGCTTCACTACTATGTGCAATATGGCATAGGCGCTGCTGCCAGGTTTCATTACATGAATTGCTCTTTCTTTCTCCAAAAGTTAAATTTGAGTTTCGAATTACGCAAATGAGCTATATATAAAAAAAAAAAAAAAAACTGTGTTGCCGACAGCACCGGGGTGTCGAACGAGCTCGGGGCAGGGAATCCGGACAAAGCCAAAGCAGTGATCCAATCAGCAGTCGGGATTTCGACGCTCGAGGCAATCATCGTCAGCACCACACTGTTCTACTGCCGCGGATTCTTCGGCTACGTTTTCAGCAACGACGAGGCGGTGGTGGCGTACGTGGCCGATGTGGCTCCGCTGCTCTGTCTCTCCGTCGTCGTAGACAGCTTCCTCGCAGTACTCTCCGGTACGTCCGTTGCTTCGTAGACAGGACGACAATTAATCAATGAATCACATGTTTATCAATAATGAATCTTATATCGTTTTTTTCCGTATATGCCCGATTGCGTACTGGAAATGTGGGGATGCAGGAGTGGCGAGGGGGAGCGGGTGGCAGCACATAGGAGCGTACTACGGCGTCGGGATGCCGGTGGCGGTGCTGATGTGCTTCGTCCTCCATCTCGGAGGGAAAGGGCTGTGGGTTGGGATTCTGACCGCATCGACCCTCCAAGCTGTTTTGCTTGCTTTCATCACTGCCTTCACCAATTGGGATCGACAGGTCCTCTGTTTCTTTCCGTCAAATCCATGAATTTGATTAGTACTTACTATTGTGTTGTTTTTTATTGTTGATTCCGTGTTTTCATTATTGCTATATATATATTGCAGGCAGAGAAAGCAAGGGCAAGGATATTTGATGGCGGAAGTTGTTCGGGTCAAGGAAGCACAACCGAAGTGGAGGTGAAACTCATACAGTAGTAAAACTAATCATCTCCAAAGCTCAATAATCTGATATGCACTTATAAGACGATGATATATGGTTCTTGCGGTTGCAAGAATGGTCTTTCTGAGGATGATGGGCTTGTCCTTTTGTTGCTTGTCTTTTTCTCGTGCTTCTAATTAGGCCTTGTTGGTTTCTTTCAATCTTGATATCCAGTGGTATGAAATTCGTCATATCCTCGTGTGGATTTGATTCAATGGCTTCTTCATATCTTACTTCCGCATGGAGAACACCTATTCGTGGAAGAAGTGTTGTTGTTGTGAATAAGGTGGATCCTTCTTTCCCGTTTCATCAAGGAATGAAACTTTTCACATAAAAACAACAACTCACGTCTACAAGTAAAGCGTACAACGAGATAAAAAAATTATGAAAATAACTAAACTAAAATAACTTAAACACTCGTCATAATTCACAACAGCTTCACGTATGTCTCCAACAATGGTGCCAAAACTTGATCGTTTTCCAAGAGTTTGATGCTCTACTATTCTACTACACCTAATCAAGCCAAGTATAACTCGATTAGGTGGCGTAGTATAGTTGTGACGAGAGGTCATATTTCCTCATGATCGGGAAGACGCAATTGATCACCATAGCTAGGGAGAAGCTCAATCATTATTGATCGGAATGAACCCATAATCAGATAACTAGCCAACTCAATGGTCATGCAATCACTTAAAATTGCACTATTTGATTATAGCCCCTTCTTGACTTAAGTGAATGGTCGCCTACATTAGGTCAAGCCTTTAAATCATCACCCACATGCAATTAAGATATGTATAAAGCAATAAGCACATCAAATAGACAAGACATACTATAATTACAACCAAATCAACCATTATATACACAAACCCTAAGCTAGATTATGGGTTCTTACCCAAATATCTAAGATGTTACCTAATGAGTGTGGAAGAAGACCACGGGAAAATAGAGAAGAAATAAACACCTGGAATGTCTTTGATCCTTGAAGCAAAATTAGCTCCAAGCTGGAAGCTCCTGGTGCTAGCTAGCCGTGTGATTTTTGAGGTGACGCCTTTCTACAGTGAATTTCTTTGGACATAACGGCATGGGCTTTACAACCACTATCTTTTCTCGAGGTCATGAACTCATAGGCTGCAAATTCCCGCCCTCAATTTCTTCAAACACAAGTCAGATTCAGTCCTTAAGCCTCATTGTTTAGGGAAACTCTTAAGTTATTTTTATTGGTTGATAGTAGATTACGTAGTTAATGGAGGTTAGTAGTTAATAGGTAGTGGAGGTTAAAAGAGGTATTAACAAGGTTGTCAAACTGATTGAAGTCATTGAGCCGGTTAAGCAAAGGGTTTGAGACATAAAGGTCTGATCGAGGTCCGGCCGATTTGAGCCGTTGTAGACGTTTTCTGAATATATATATATAAATAAGGTAGTAATTAAAGATTTGAAGGGATTTGAGGATTTAAGCAGCTTTGAAGTCATGACGTTTTCTCACCTTGGTATGATTTGAGGGGATTTGTGGATTTAGCAGAGCAAACCTTTTTCCTTGAGGACAGTGATTCCAGGGGCGGAGCTACTCAGAGAGTAGGGTGGGCCCCGTCCCACCCGGCAATAGTCTCGGCCCCTAGGATCGTAAGAATATTTAGATAAAATTTGGATAAGTAGTGCTCGACCTATACATTATATTATATAACAATCATGTAGTCTATTGGTAGCTAAGGAAAACTTTTAGCCTAAAGTATACAAGTTCGATCCACAACAACCTCAATTTTGCTTTAACTTCTTTGGACTTTATTATATTCTCCTCCACAAGGTCCTGGAAAAAATCAACCTCTATTTAGTTCACTTGAAATTTTTAGCTCTTTTTACAAACTATATGATCTTTTTTTTTTATCTATGTCGGAATTAACATAAAGATCAGTGTCAAAGGAATTTATTTTGTTGATAGGTTGATTTGTCTTCTTCTAACTCTTCCAAATTTCTAAAGCTACATGTGATCGTGCATGTTTTCAGGTATAAAGATAGTGGAGAATAGATTGCGAAACAAAATAAATGATGAGTTTCTTGTTAATGATTTAGTTATTTATATTGAACGAAAGATAGCTAAAAATTTTAGTTCAGATGCTATTTTGAGAGATTTCAATGATCTCAAATAACGTTGTAGACTTTAAAAATAATTTTTTATTTACATTTATCTATTTTCGGCCCACCCGGTCTCAAAATCCTGGCTCCGTCCCTGAATGATTCTATCTACGCTATTCTTCAAAAATAGTAATTGACAGCTCCCGAGAGCTCTTGTCTTCCTTGCTATATGTTGTTTACATTGTTCTTATTACCAGTCTATACGTCATGACTTGAAAACATTCACTCTTCATGTTATCTGGCAAACGGGAATCAAGTCCAAACCTATTAATTGAGAAAAATATATCACAATCTAGTATAAAACTTTGTATCAAGTAATTGATTATGATAAGTGAGAAAATCATTCATCAGTAAGGTTCAAGGTATACAATTTAAACTCTCAATAGACTAATTCATATGACTGCTTTAATACTAAGAATTGAGTTTTATTTATCATGTTTTAATAATATCAATCCCAACTATAAAAAAAAGTCAACTATTAATTCCAAACAAATTGTATTTAACTATTTATCATGATAAATCATCGAAATATATATTTCAAAATATTCCGGCCAACCAACGGAGTATGTATAAACTAGTATTTTAGAATAGTTCTAGCGTCCGGATTGGATTTAACAAAATTGTTATACTCTCATTTTGCCTTTTGTCAAATTGAAGGGGCTCATCTCTATGGAGAAAATGGATGTTGAACCCGCAATCCAATTTCCTGTCTAGTATTTGGACAAGACACTTCAATGCACAATTGTCACATAATCACGGAAAATCGATGTTATCTCAATTCTCAACAATGAGATAATAAAACTATTCGTTGAAGTTCTTGAGAGAGAAGCAGAGCGCCACAGTCCGCCATGGTAGTATGCCCTTCTCCTCTTGCCACTGAAACCCGCTCCACTTCCTCCATGAATTCTTGCTGACTTTCTACCCAAAAAAAAAAAATTCTTGCTGACTTCAATTTCCCTCCTTACCTCCACAAAAACAAAACAAAAATGGCGCTCTGCCCGCCTTCTATTCTATCTTCTTGCCCAGCTCACCGGCTCAAGTTCAATCCTTTTCTTCTCACCAAGCACCGCCCTCTTCCCTCCACCCTCTCTAAATGCCGTCCTTCTCTCACAACCCTATCTCCCTGGCAATTCAACCGTCTCGGCCCAAGGTTCTTCGCAGGTTTTACTCTTTTCTCCTCCAGCCCTTTACATTGGATTGAAACTAGCTCCGAATTGCTGCTTACTGACATTCTATTAAGGGCAACAAGTCCTTGTCCTAGTCGGTATAGGATTTGTATTCCCTTGTTAGTATAAATACAAACTACTGTTTCGTTTCGTCCAAGTGTTTCCCTCGACGGTCATAAGGGCAAGCTTGCTTTTGGTTTTTCGTGCGAACGGTCTTCTAAACCGCCATGTCCGGCTCTTCTTCTATTAGTTCTGGTGATCGAGGGAACTCGACCAACGAGCCGCGGATAATTACGATGAATGCAGCTGGTATTAGTTCCCCTACTAGATAATGCAGTGCCCATGTAGTGAAATTTTGGATTTTCTTGAACTGGGTCATCTTAGTCTTGCGAGCTGTGTTCTGAATTTCAGCTGCAGTAGCTGCACCGGAAAATGGCGTGTTTACTTCTCCAGAGTTGGCAAAGTCGTTTGATTTTTCTGCGGAGGAACGAATTTATAATTGGTATTTTGCCCCCCTTGATCAAACCCCTCTCAACTGTTCTCTGTCTCTCTGCCTTCTTGTTTAGACACTGCTGTGCACATCCAAGTATTGGTGTGAATGAGATGAAAGGCCATGACCCTATTGAAACGACCTTGTTAATTTCCTCTATAAACTGAATTTATGATAGCAATTGTAGGATGCAGAAGATTGGTTATTACTGATGACTTGGTAGTTGATGCTCTGAGGAGTTGTCCATTATGATGCATTTGATTTCTTGCTGCTGTGTGTTTTCTGTGTTTCGACGACCCACATGCTTTTTTGTTTTGTTCCGAGGGCTTCCTTATGCCTTTCTTCACATGATTTTGGCATTGTTACTGGATATTAGGTGGGAATCACAAGGGTACTTCAGGCCATCCTTTGATCGGGGAACTGATCCGTATGTGATATCAATGCCACCTCCCAATGTTACTGGGTATCTCCATATGGGGCATGCCATCTTCGTCACTCTTGACGTTCTTATGCTGAATCTAAATGCTTGAGTGTTGCTCCCTAATTCATCCTGCGAATTTATATATTTCAATGGCAGGCGATAGTATCGCCGCGATACTATCGCTTATTTGAAAATTTTCTCATGATCTTGGTTCTACACTTTGGGCCACCATGAATTCGGTTCATATTGTCTCTATTCATTGAGTATATAACTTGCCAGTATCCATTTTTTTGAATTTACTTTGACCAGTGTTCTCATTTGAAGGATTTATGATTTTGAGAATTAATTAGCAGACAAGAACATATGATGTTGTTAAGTTGAAATCGATTTCAGAAAAGGGTTTTGCAGAGTCACCTACCAGATGATTATAGGCCAAATCTGGATGTGTTCTTTGAGATATATCAACCTTTTAGGTCCCCAGTTGCTTGCTTTCTATGTCAATAGGGAAAATAATTTTTGTTTCGCTTTCTCTTTTCTTGAAGCTTTACCATTAGCTACTGCAAACATGTAGGGGCAATCATCTAGTCTTTTCTTCGTGTGAATCTTTTTCATTTCTCCCTATTGTTCACATACATCGTAGCAGAATTCCATTTCCCTTGCTGGAATTCCAAGTTTGTCTTTTCTAGTGTTGTTTAACATTGTGCATATTTTGGTTTACTAGGATTTAGTTAATACTTGTTTTTTAATACTTTTCGCTAGGATATCATGGTGAGATACCATCGAATGAAAGGAAGACCAACATTGTGGATTCCTGGGACAGATCATGCTGGGATTGCAACTCAGGTTTGGCTCTGATTAAAAAGTTATGCCTCTAGGTCTGTGTTAGACTAGCTGTGTAGTGCTCAATTTATTGACAAGATTGGATGTTTCCCCATCTATATCAGTTGCTCTCTTCAATAATCATCCTATTCCATGAGGAATTATAACCTGTCATGCCTTATCTATTTCTTGTACATGAAATTCTCAGTGATAGTGCCAAAATGTGGTGGGCATTGATTTATATGGAGTGTCACGAGTAAAAATGATATATGGACTTTTCTTTTGAAATGATGGCCATAATTTACAGCTGGTTGTAGAGAAAATGCTTCAAAGTGAAGGGATGAAGAGGACTGAAATGGGGAGAGATAATTTCATAAACCGTGTGTGGGAGTGGAAAGAAAAGTAAATTTCTTATCTTGTGCTACTTACGTTTATGGAAAGCACCTTCCAAATTTCTTTGTTATTCTTCTTTGGCAGTGGTTCTTCTTTTAAGTGCTTTACCTTGATTGTTGACATGGTGCTGGATGCTATTTCATCTATGTTTACGTCAGGCATGGTGCAAGAATAACAAATCAGATTAAAAGATTAGGAGCTTCCTGCGATTGGACCAGAGAGCACTTTACTCTTGACGAGCAGCTAAGTCGTAAGATAAATTTGGGACTGTAATTATTATATGTATGATATGTACAAATTCTGCAATTGCCTTATGATATCTTTGACCTTTTAAATTTGAAGGAGCTGTGATAGAGGCTTTTATCAAGCTTCATGACAAAGGCCTAATCTACCAAGGTAGAAGCATTATTTCTGTTTCATATGTAGCCTTGCTTGTAATGAACATGTTATGTGAATAATATCTTTTGAGGATTTTTGAGGTTAGCGTCAAATTTTTTCCTTTATTCCAAAGATTTGTTGTTTATTGTCTATACTTCAATGATGTACGCATGTGTTAAAAGAAAATCAGGCCATGCTTTAGACTGTTGACCTGGTGATTCTTTTGTACACTTCTTGATGATGGAAAAATGCTGTCATTTTCCTTCCAAGAATAGGCTTGCATTCCTCTTTAAAAAAATTTCTTTGGTCCTTATGTAGGGCTGGTAATGAAAATTCAGGTTGTTTTATTCTATCTTATTTTTTATCATCCGAATATGGAAAGGAAGAGGAAGGCTGTTTCTTGTCTAAGTGTAGCCTGTAGAGGGACCTGTCTCTTCTTTTACGTTGCTTCTATGCCTCTTTTAGTGTTGCTGAGTTGATTGAGAGTCTTGCTATAATTTTTTTTGTTTTTGTTTTATGGGAATAAGTAGTTGAAAGATTGGCCCTTGCTTTCAGGTTCTTACCTGGTAAACTGGTCCCCTAATTTACAGACTGCAGTTTCTGACTTGGTAAGCTTCATTCTGTCACAAGTGTAATCGTCCCTGATTTCTCGACCTGTATAAAGTTTCCTTTTTGTGGTCAGGAAGTTGAATATTCTGAAGAACCTGGTACTCTGTATCACATCAAGTATCGTGTTGCTGGAGGTACAAGGTAGATGCGACTTTTCAGAGTTCTTGTCTCTTCGTTCAAATCCACATTTTCTTTCAGTAGCGTTTCCTTTATGGTTGGTTCGTTTTAAAACTGCCCCTGAGAAGGGCTATAGTTACAATGTGGTAGATATATGAAATTAAGATGACTTCGAATTAAATGATAGTTTATTGGGAAAGATTTATATTGCCAAAATTTCAGAAAATGAAAAGTGTTATTTTATTTTTGGATTGTCATGTTTGAAACCCGTTTACTTCCAAGGCTCTGTAATTCATTAACTTTGACGGCTACTTGATGAAATCTTGCAGCGTTTTGCGTTACTTTCTTGATAGGGTTTCCCTTTCTTTGACCAAGCAGGATTGTTTGCATAACCTCAGTAACCTGTTTGTATGATGTCTTAATCCCTTTTCTTTCTAGGAGCGACTTCTTAACAGTAGCAACAACTCGCCCTGAGACTTTATTTGGTGATGTTGCTATCGCAGTGAATCCAGATGTAGGTGATTTTGCAAGTTTAATTTTATATTTTTTAGTTTCAAATTGGTGCAGAGACTAATGCATATGTTTGCAGGATGATCGCTATTCTAAATATATTGGAAAGATGGCAATTGTACCCATGACATATGGTCGCCATGTACCTATAATCTCTGATAAGGTAAAATATGATATGTATTATTTCTTCTTATTCAGTTCTAGCATATGCTAAGTCCTCTGGTATTTCGTAGCGAAGGAGAAGGTTAGACAACGTGGTAGTTATGGTACATGTTAAGTTCTTCCATAGCTTAGTTGACCAAATATAGGAAGGGGAGAAGTTGAAGCATTATCCTTTCAGTGTTTTAGGTGCATGGGGAAAGTCTATGCCGGCTTAACCTTGTACGGTTGCTGTTTCATTGTTATGAAGTATTTTATTGAAGCAATGATCTGTCACTTTAACTTGTGGTGACGCTTTTATGCTGTTGTGTCTCAAAGATTCGACTTACTTAAGTATAATCTTGGTGACACAAAATGAAATAATTGAACAACGATTTTTTTACTGTTCGCTTAATAAATTATTTGTGGCTGGTTTCATGGGAACAATATGGAAAACTAAGTTGGGGTATTTGATGAGAAACCCTAGAGTTGAAGTCTCCCATACAATCCATGTCGAGGCATATCCATGTCTATGTTTTCTAGGTTTTATTCACTTTATTCAAGAACCATACTTTTCGTGGGTTTTCCTCTTACCTTTCTTGTTCTAACTGATGCCTGGTAATGGCTAAAACGCCACATTGTGCAATCTATTTCCCATCCAGAAAACTACATAAGGAACTCTTACATGCGGTGGTGGATTTTTTGTTTATTGCTTATGAAACTAACACAATCCATTTTGCCAGTATGTTGATAAGGAATTTGGGACTGGTGTATTGAAGATAAGCCCCGGACATGATCATAATGATTATACTCTTGCTCGAAAGCTTGGTCTCCCAATACTTAATGTGATGAATAAGGATGGGACTCTCAATGATGTTGCTGGATTGTACTGGTAGACCTTCTAAACAATTTTCTTCACTTGGTTTGCTTCGTGGTATTATGTCTGTGTAAATGTGACTGACAAATTTCTATCACTGAATTGATTGTTGGAATGTTAGTGGTCTTGATCGATTTGAAGTACGAAAGCAACTATGGTCGGATCTTGAGGAGACAGGCTTAGCTGTGAAAAAGGAGCCGCATACCCTAAGAGTGCCTCGATCACAGCGAGGTGGAGAGGTGAGTAGACATATATGCTTTCCATGATTTCTGAATATAAGGATTTTCGTCCACAGAATATGTGATCATGGTAGTTTTCTGATTGTGTTACTAGATAATAGAGCCCTTGGTAAGTAAGCAGTGGTTTGTGAATATGGAATCCCTGGCTAAAAAGGCCCTTCATGCAGTTCATAAAGGAGAGATAACCGTAATGCCTGAAAGATTTGAAAAGGTATGTGAAGTTCGAACTTACCTTTGCTCATATTGTCTACCTCTGCGGCTCCGCCCCTGAATGCTTATCATTAGGTTGTTTATAATTTCTGTGCATATTTGCTAAAATTGTCCCTGAAGCTGTTGTGCGCCTCTTCCACTTAGTGATAAATTTGCCTTTTCCTGTGAATTTTTTGTAATTTTCTGGCCTGTATTGACACTGATGTGAACTATGTAAACCCTTAATACCTTAACTTTTGGTATTTACCAAATCCGCCTACTTTTCATCTAGGCACATTCATACCCTCCTGATGCTCACTGTCTAGTGCTTACTTATTCTTCTGCCACTATTCCAGATTTATAATCATTGGCTATCAAACATTAAGGATTGGTGCATAAGCAGACAGCTTTGGTGGGGACACCGGATACCTGTTTGGTACATTGCAGGGAAAAGTGGTGAAAATGACTATATAGTTGCTCATAATGAAGTCGAAGCCCTAGGGAAAGCTCGTGGAAAATATGGAGAAGATGTGGAAATATATCAAGATTCAGATGTTCTTGACACATGGTTTTCAAGGTATATGATTTCAAGTTTCCATCTGCTTATGGTACTGGTAAATAAAAGTTAAGCGGGCAAAGGGAAAATCACTAACCCATGCAGCTTCTTCATACTATTCTCTGTAACAATCATTTGGCAAACGACCCCAACTGACTTGTTTTTTTGCCATAGGCAAACAAGTCATTTGGCACCAAATGACTCATAGAAAGCCTCAGGCAAACGACCCCCATATGATTTCTCAGAAGGGAAGTGGTGTAGCTAAATTTTATGTTTTTCAAGCTGAATTTAATGTCAACCCTCTCAGCTTGATTAAGTTCCACAAGCAGTATAATCTTGAAGAATTATTGTATTTATTCTTCACAGCTCTGCTGCATATCTTTTTATTGGATGCGGTTTGATTTTTAGGGGAGTTGCCAACTTTGATTAGCTGTTTACCACACTCTAGCAAATGGGTTCAATTGCTTAGTATGGAGCTTAAAAGCAGGCTTAAATAGGATGATGCCGAATTTTTTTGGTTCTGCAAATAATTTTTTTCCTGATGAAGGTGATGCACTGATGTCTCATACCTTTTAATTTTTATCCTCTGTCTGCAGTGCTTTGTGGCCCTTTAGCACTCTTGGATGGCCTGATGAATCATCAGAAGATTTTAAGAGGTTCTACCCAACAACAATGCTTGAAACTGGGTACGTATTTGATATTTCCTCAGCATCATTGTTCTATGGCTATTCCCCTTGTTTATTCTCTTCCGATTGACTTCACACATAATGTATGATCTGGCATGCTGATGTCAGTTACTATAAAGTATCTGTAGTTCTTAGTGGGGATCGACTAGTTAATTGGGCTAGTATTGAAGGTGAATCCTTTGATTTTGAATGCTATTACTGTTTCCCTTGAACAGGCATGATATTTTGTTCTTCTGGGTAGCAAGGATGGTCATGATGGGAATTGAGCTTACCGGGAAAGTTCCATTTTCAAATATTTATCTTCATGGACTTATTCGGGATGCACAAGTGAGTTTGAGCTTGTTTTGTTTGGTGTTGACTCTTTCAGATTACTAAACACAGCTATTTTTCTATTTCAGGGGCGAAAAATGTCTAAAACACTAGGGAATGTAATAGATCCTCTGGATACAATCAAGGAGTATGGTACTGATGCTTTGCGATTCACTCTTGCGCTGGGAACCGCTGGCCAGGTTCTGTTGCCTTATATAACCTTTAGTGGCTGCATCTAACTGCATGGCTCTGCATCAGGGAGATGAATGTTATGATGCCATCAATCTGCCTAATTTTGTTTATTATGATTCTTACCATGGATGTTCGCATTTTCATCCAGGATCTTAATTTATCAATGGAAAGGTTGACTGCTAATAAAGCATTCACTAATAAACTATGGAATGCGGGTAAGTTTGTGTTACAAAACTTGCCTAGCCAAACTGATGCATCAGCTTGTGCAGCAATACTGGCTCATAAGGTTTGTTGATATATTTGGGCTTTGGAGAATACAGTTCTTTCTAATAAATGTGAAATAACTGGTTCTGTAAACTAAAGCTCCCTGATGCGATTTTCAGTTTGATGTAGAGGAGTCAGTTCTCAGGCTACCTTTACCTGAATGTTGGGTGGTAAGAAATATAGCTTTCGTTCATTTCCTTTGCTGTGTTCATCATATTCTATCCAAAAGCTAATTGAAGTTTTAGGTCTCAGAACTTCATGAGCTCATTGACACAGTCACTGCAAGCTATGACAAATATTTCTTTGGAGATGTCGGAAGAGAAATCTATGATTTCTTTTGGAGTGATTTCGCTGATTGGTATGTAGAATCCATCTATATCTCAGAACATGCGTACAATGTGTATATACTGTCTGAAAGACATGCTTGCCTTGGGCTGTGCCCTCCCTCAATTTTCCAGAGAACATCTACTGTTGTTCCTTGCACTACTCTTTTCTTACCTCTCAGAAGGAAAAACTATTAAGGCTAAATGAGACTTGGGAGTCTAGAGTACCATTAGAGTGAAGGTTGTAACTTGACTATCTTAACTAGGAAGTACTTGATAGGCTTCTTAATCATGGCCTTTACCAAAATGTGGTAACATGAAATGGTATGCTCAAATAAGCAGATGTTAAGGGAAGTCAATAGGGTTCAAATCAACAAACAATTCCTGTGAGTTGCCAATCAGAAAGAAACATAATTGGGTTGCTAAGCATTATGTCTTCTTTAAGAACATTTCATAGCTTCGATGTTGACTGCTGGCTAACTTCTCACCAGGTACATCGAAGCCAGCAAAGCTCGCTTATACCAGTCGGGAGGAGATTCAACCGCTTCTCTGGCACAAGCTGTTCTATTATATGTGTTTGAAAATATATTGAAGCTGCTGCATCCTTTTATGCCCTTTGTTACTGAAGAACTTTGGCAGGTACTGAGTTTTAAACTAAATCATGACTCTGGTATAGCTCTGTCAGAAACACAATTATATATAGTTTCTATTATTATATTAGGTAGGATAATTATAATTATGGTTAGTAGAGATTTAGTCGGATTAGGATTATCATTAGGGTTTTCTCGTATTATCCCTATAAATATGTACTTTGGGTTTAGGTCATAGGGAATCAAGAAGAATATTAGCAAAGTCTCCTAAACCCTAATCTCTCCTCTCAACTCCTAATTTCTCGTCTCATCCTAGTCCAAGGCCTCGGCCGATTCCCAATTCTATTCTATCTCATCTAAATCCCTAATTCTTTCTCTCAACCCCTAAATCCCTAATTATCACGAGTGCCGAAGATCAGTATCGAGAATCCCTAGAAGCGTGGTTCTCACAGTGGTATCAGAGCCCGGTTGCAGGCACTCGTACCAGAACCATGTCGAGACTCGAAGAGTTCGTGGTCAGCGAACTCACAAAGATGTTGAAGTCGAAGCTGGAAGCGCTGTGGAAGAACGAGGTTGCCTCGTCCATGACGCTGTCCAGAAACAGAGCACAGGCAGCCCCATCCAAAGCCGCAGCCGCCGCGTCGATGGAGCCGGCGAAGGAAGAAGCGGCAGATCCGCCTACTTGTCGCGGAAATAGCTCGACGCCGGATGGCGAATTGAAGAAGAGGAAGCCGATGGAGGTCGAGCCACCATCGGAATTTGAGGCGGAGATGAGGATGCAGATGGCGGGGGACGAGTGCAATAAGGAAGCGGTGCTGGTTGCTAGTATCATAGCGCCGCCGCCAAAGGATGCGAGGAAAGAAGCAGTGATCCCACCGCCGGACGGTGCTGCCGCTTCTCCAAAGCAGGTGGATTCGGATGCGACAGGTAAGGAAGAAGAACCGGCAGTGAGTTCCGATGCAGCAAAGGATTTCCTAAATCCCGTCCTTCCACCGCCGAGGAAACCGCCAGAGGAACAATCATCATCGACCATGGCCCTCGACGCCAACGGACGAGAAGAAGCAGGACCGGGAACGCGCAAACTGCTGGACCAGTCGAAATCACGAGTCCAGCCGCCGGCCCCAGCCTTGACGACATCCGACAAGAAGATGGAGACTAGCGCCAATGTCGATCGCCGACCCGAAGTGGAGACGGAGCAGATTCGATGGGATTCTGCGTTGGCGGCACGGCAGATGCGATCTGCTGGAACTGCAGTCAAGGCGCCGAAGGAGAAGAAGGCGAGGGAGTCGCCACTGGTCGAGAAGAAGAAGGAATCGTCAGAGTCGAGAACGATGGGGAAGAAGAAGATGGAAGTCGAAGCTTCGAGATCGCCTTCCTCATGCCAGGTGGGTCACTCGACGCCGGAGGACAAGGCGGGCAAGAGGGCGCTCGAACTCGAGCCACAGTCGGAGAAGAAGAAGAAGAAACCGCCGGAGAATGAGGCGAAGCAGCTGCCGCCGAAGGAAAAGATGGCGGCGGGGCCGGAAGGGCCGTCGTGCCGTCGGCGGAATGGCCCGTCGCGGGGGAACGAGAAGAAGAAGACGGATTCGATGGCGACCGAAGAGAGGGAGCAGAAGACGGCGGCGGCGGCTACGGGCTGGCCGCCGTGCATCCGGTTGGGCTGGTCGCCGCCGGGAAAGGAACGTGAGGGGAAGGTTGAAGTCGGCGGCGGCGCTCTGTTTCTGTTCGAGCCGCTGCGTCTCCCTTCCTTCAATGAAACCCTAGGCCGCCGAAGCTTGGAGTGGGTCGGGTTCTCATCGGGCCAAAGTGACGGGTTGGTTGGGCCAGGAATGAGAGAAGAGCCCAATTACCTTGGTCATAAGCTGCAGCGGGTGAAGAGGAGTGTTGAGCCCTTTTTGGGCCGAGTACTATTGGCCCAATCAGGTGGGCAGAAGAGTAAGCTAGCTGGGCTCGTTTTGTGCCATATGAATCAGCAGAAAAAGCCATTTCGCGGGCCGCAAATAAAAAAGAAGTGGGCCGAGAAAGAGTTTGATAGTGGCCTGAACAAGAAAGGTGGAATTTGGGTACAAAGGAATCATGGGCTGAGTTATAAAGAGGAACCAAACATGAAGGAGGAAGGAAATGGGCCCAACATGGGTTGTGTGTTAAAGGAAGCAAGTTTAGGTGGAGTTCTTGGGTTGGTCTGTGGGCTTCCCAATGAGCCAAGCCCAAATGAAATTGGAAGGAAGATAAAGAGGTTTAATATTGGGTTGGGCTCCAGCTCTTTATTGCAACCAATTGTGGGTCAAAGAGGAGAAGGTTGGGTTGTATTCCCCACCAAGCTCATAGAGGAATTTATGGAGCATTTCATTGAAGATCTCAAGGTGGGTAATGATGATGGACAAAATGAAGAACTATCCTCCGATTCTTATTTCGTTGATTTCGAAAAGGAAAAGGGCGGATTGTTCGGCTATGAAGAACGTGACACATGTCACGTTGGTGGAGAAAAGACAAGGAAAGTAGGAGTTGCGCTAGAAGAGTTCATTCAAGGGATCGAGCGCAATTGGAAACGAAGAAAGCGGAAGGTCAAGGAGGTAGAAGTCAACTACAACCTTGAGGTCAAGGTTGTTCTCAAGGGGGATGGATTGTCAGAAACACAATTATATATAGTTTCTATTATTATATTAGGTAGGATAATTATAATTATGGTTAGTAGAGATTTAGTCGGATTAGGATTATCATTAGGGTTTTCTCGTATTATCCCTATAAATATGTACTTTGGGTTTAGGTCATAGGGAATCAAGAAGAATATTAGCAAAGTCTCCTAAACCCTAATCTCTCCTCTCAACTCCTAATTTCTCGTCTCATCCTAGTCCAAGGCCTCGGCCGATTCCCAATTCTATTCTATCTCATCTAAATCCCTAATTCTTTCTCTCAACCCCTAAATCCCTAATTATCACGAGTGCCGAAGATCAGTATCGAGAATCCCTAGAAGCGTGGTTCTCACAAGCTCATTCCAGGCTTCTTTTTATAATGATGAAAGATGTAACCATTGCCTCCCTTGTCCCAGTTGGAGATAAAGCAACTCTATTAATTATTTTGTGGTTTGAATTTGGTCACAGGCTCTCCCTAACTGGAAAGAAGCTCTAATAATTTCATCATGGCCCCAGACTTCCCTTCCACGGCACGCTAACTCGATAAGGCAATTCGAAAACTTCCAAGCTTTAGTGAGTCTGGCACTCTTGTTAACTGGATACAGTCATTGGTCCTATTTCTACATTCTCTAGATGTTACTGTATTTCAAACTGTTTTAATTAGCTTTTAATTAATGCCTTAGACTAGAGCAATCCGAAATGCTCGAGCAGAATATTCCGTAGAGCCAGCCAAGCGCATTTCTGCATCAATAGTTGCCAGCAAAGACGTCGTCCAGTATATCTCTGTAAGTATCCCTACAATCATTGTCTCTTCTGCAAACTTAATGTATCTTGAGACCAGACTAGCAGCTTGACTTAATGTCCAAAACTTAAAGTCATGACTTCACTTTCTGAACTTGCTGCAGAATGAGAAGGAAGTGTTGGCCCTTCTATCCCGGCTAGACGTACAGAACGTCCAGTTCGCCACTTGCCCTCCAGAGGAGGCGAACAAGTGCGTGCACCTTGTTGCAAGCGAAGGACTGGAAGCGTATCTCCCACTTGCTGACATGGTCGATATATCTGCTGAAGTGGATCGCCTTGGCAAGCGGCTAGCCAAGATGGAGACCGAGTACGAGGGTCTCGTACCTCGCCTTGGTTCGCCCAAGTTCGTGGAGAAGGCTCCAGAGGACGTGGTCCGTGGGGTTAGGGAGAAAGCAGCAGAGGCAGAAGAGAAGATCAAGCTGACGAAGAACCGGTTGGAGTTTCTGAGATCCTCTGCTTTGGTATCACAGTAGGTCCCTCTCCTATTCAGTTAGTAGTTAAAAAATCGTGGTCGTTGTTAAGACTTCCATAATTTTTGCTCCGTTGAAACACAAAACACTGAAGAGTGCGGATCTGGTGACTAAGGGGGGTGCTTAGTCACTTGACTAAGCCCCTCCTAGCCATTAGATCTGGACACTTCAATCCAATGGTTAAAAAGTGGGAAGGGCTATTTAATTAATAGCAAGGGTAGTTTGGGTATTATGAAAAATTACGAAGTATACAAACCGGATTTACAATCAGTACAAACCATACAAACATACGAACAATACAAACTAGAGCGACAAAACATACAAACATTACAAACGTATGAACTGTACAAACAATACAAACTAGACTGACAAACAATACAAACCATACAAACATACGAACAATACAAACTAGAGCGACAAAACATACAAACATTACAAACGTATGAACTGTACAAACAATACAAACTAGACTGACAAACAATACAAACCATACAAAAAGAAAAAACACCCGGGTTGACTTTGGAGGCTCCATCCCTATAAAGAGGGGCTCTTTCCCAAAGTCAACCCGGGTGTTTTTTAGACATACAAACAGTACGAACATGGTGGACAAAAATGACAAACTAGACCGACAATCCATACGAATGGGGAAAACACCCGGGTTGACTTTGGAGGCTCCATCCCTATATAGAGGGGCACCTTCCCAAAGTCAACCCGGGTGTTTTTTAGACATACAAACAGTACGAACATGGTGGACAAAAATGACAAACTAGACCGACAATCCATACGAACTGGAAAAAACACCCGGGTTGACTTTGGAGGCTCCATCCCTATATAGAGGAGGTCCATCCAAAAGTTAACCAGGTTGTTTTTTAGACATAAAAAACATTACAAACATGGTGCACAAAAATGACAAAGATTACAAACATGGTGCACAAAAATAACAAAGTTTACAAACATTACAAAAAAAATCGACAAACATTACAAAATAACAAAGTATACAAACATTACGAAATATGTCAATCGCCGGGAAATTCTTCTCCGGCGACGATGTTCGCCGGAAAAAAAATTCCGACCAAAAAATTTCGCCGGGAAAAACTTCCGGCCAAAAAATCTCTCTCTCTCTCCCTCTCTCTCTCTCTCTCTCTCTCTCTGCACCTGGTGGGAAGAATTCCCAGAATTCTCAACTTGGGGAATAAATTCCCATAACAAAAAGTGACGCCCTGGTCGGATCCCGGCGGGATAAAAATACGAGGCGGACGGCCGGGAACAAAAAAACGAAGCGGCCGGCAGGGAGAGTGAGCTGGAAAAAAATTATTTAATAATTGAAAATAAAAATAATCATGAACTTACAATTTTGCCCTTCATTAAAGTAGATTAATTGTGGCCATTAGATTTTAATGAGATGGAAGGGCTGAGATTTACTTAGGCATGTGACTAAGGGACCCCCCCTTAGTCACCTGATCTTAGCCCCTGAAGAACAGTAACCGGCGTCTACTTTTCCAGTCAATGGCAAGTTCATATAACAGATTAAAAAAAAAAAAGAGAAGTCATACTCTCCTGCTTGGCGACTTATGACTGATGGATTTGGAAAATGGAAACTCATGCAGACCATATCATTTTGAAAAAAAAAATCAAATATTCATCCATTTATTGGGTCAAACTTGTATCAATATTTGAAATTAAGAGAAAATTGCAGTGGCCGCCGCATTTCATATCGCCACTACCAACTCTTCATGTGTATGTTTTTTCTTGATAAGTCAGACTTGGATTCTGTAGTAAAAAGGCTCAACTTCAAGCACGACTGTAATCAAAATGCGTAATTCGTATGCAATCAAATTATCAATAAAAAAAAGCTTTTTTCTCTCAATATATTGACAATTTTTTTTTTTGTGAAGATCTAAAGAGCAAAAAAGACACGATATAAACATAAAGGATATAAAAAGTCAATAAAACTCCTCCAAGAAAGACCCAACCAATGAGTGTGTAGGTTTTTCCGATTAAGCACTTCGAACGATGAGTTGCAAATCGCCATCAAATGTCACCACAAAAAAAAAAAAAAAAATTAATGCACTAGACATCATCTCATAGCATCTATATGAGAAAGTAATTCAATAACAAAAACATTCGAGATATCATCAGAAAATTTACTATAAGCAAGTAAGATCGAATTAGAGAGACTTATGAAATTGATTGCACTTTCTTAATTTACCTTCACAACATTATAATTATCTTGCAAAGTGAACCGCCAAAAAAGAAACGTCCAATATAATGCTAGCAATTTTCTATCGCAAAATATTAAAGTTTGTCCTTGAGGGTTAGTCAAAATTGTGGAATAAATAACAATATAACATCAATAATATGATTCAACCTTTATGAATAATAAATAAAAAAATAGTATAGTCTTGTAAAATGAAACTGAACAATCTCTTCAAGTGTATGGTTTTTAGTCATATTGTTATTGTTATTTTCAGGAGTCTTCCTTTTCCACGTAAGGAAAATCCCACCAACCAAGTTGTTATAAAATAAAATAACACAAAACAGAGCCCCAATCCCGCACCCGCCAAAGATGACCATTATCATCACGGAATCCGAGTCCGTCCAAACTCCCAAACCAAGGAATCATCCCAACTCCCAGCCATCAGCATAATCATATATCCTATCATTTCTTCATTTTTGGTCTCTTCTCCAACCATGTGCTTAATCTTAGTTTACTTTCCTACTTCCTATCGAAATTTTAAAACGATATCGGAGTTATACCGGAAAATTCAGGGGCGATACGATATTCAAGTCTAAAGTTGTGACTTAATCGTGATTCAATCGTTATCATATTGCCAAAATTCAGTGGTGATAGGATATTCTAGGGCTGCTAAACGGTTTTCCGGTTACCGGTTTAACCGGTAACCGTACCGGTAACCGACGGTTACCGGTTAAACCGGTAACCGGAAATAACGGTAGTCGGCTGGGGAAATATTGTTTGCGGTATGCCGGGATCGACTGAGTGCTTTACCGTCGGGGGATCGGTAATCCGACACCGACTAGAAATATAAAACATCACGCGCGCGGCGCGCCAGAGGCCCAGCTGCCATGCAACTTGCAACCCTAAAAAGAAAGTAAAAACTAAAAAAAACCCTACGATTACGATACGAACGAAATCTCCAACTGAGTCCTGCGTGATTGGCGATTGCTGCTGCCTGCTGGCCTGCTGCACCGTCAGTCCGTCACCGTGCAGACCGCCGATCCCTCCTCCTCCGTTCATCGAAGCCCGTCGTCGCCGTCGAAGCCAGTCCGTTCCGTCGAAGCCAGTCGTCGCCGAGCCGTCGAACCCCGTGGTCTCCGTCGCTAGCGCAAGCTCCTCCACCCAACGGAAGAGGACGCTTCAGACAGCAGCCCTCATCTTCGTCGCCGTGAGAACGCCACCGTCCGTCCCTTCTCCGGCTGTCCGTCGGATTTGGACTTTAAAGGTAACCTGTCACCTGTGACTTACGCTCTCTTTGAGCCTTTGACTTGTTAGATTAGATTTATTGTTTCAGTATTTTGGCGGTATGCTGGGATCGAATAGTGATTAGTGTTTGATTATTGATTTATAGTTATTTGGTTGATTTGTTGTTTGATACTTTGATTAGTGCGAGCAGAGGAGCAGCAGTATAATTCAATTGTTTGAGTTGATTTGTTATTTGGTCAATTGGTTGATTTGTTGTTTGTCTTACATTTGATTGGATGATGGAACGTGAGTTGAGCTCTAAGTTTGGAAAAGATTGAGCTCTAAGATTTTTAGTATAATTCAATTGTTTGAGTTGATTACTAAGTAATAAGTATGAACTAATAATTATTTTGTTTGCTTTTCATTTTTGCAGGTTTAGAAACTTGAGAAACCAAGTACAAAAATGTAAGAGTTAGTTTGCTCTTTGCTTTTCATTTTTGCTTAATAATTAGTTTGTTGTTTGCTTTTATTTTTGCTTTTCATTAAGTATTACTATTAGCTATTTTATTAACTTGAGAAACCAAGTAAAAAAATGTAAGAGTTAGTTTGCTGTTTGCTTTTCAATTTTTCTTTTCATTAAGTATATTAACTAATTTATTAACTTGAGAAATCAAGTAAAAAATGTAAAAATTAATGTTTATGCCTCTTTTTACATGTTGGCAATTTTATGATTTTTAATTGTTTACATTTTTTCTTTTTGTTGTAGGACGAAATCTTCTCGTCCTAGTAAAGGAGATGCTCCCAAAAAAAGTGGTTCCATTCCTCCTCGAACCACTTCCAAAAAAGTGGGTGCTCGTGTTGGAGCTGCAGAAGGGATTCAACTGCCACCTACCAGTGGCATTACATCTCCACCTGCTACTGCACCTCCTGCAGCTGCCACGCCTACACAGGTGACTGATATGGGTGAGGCAAAGAAAATTGTGAAGGGCAAGGCGACTAAAAGGAAGAAGAAGTCCCCGTGGTGGGATCCTTATGATGAGGTTCTGGTAGATGACTACCCATATGGCAAATGCAAACAATGTGGAACGTTGATCAAAGCTCACTCTACCAATAACGGGACTTCTGGTTTGAAGCAACATCACTTGGCATGTGAGAGGAAGAGGAAGGAAGCCAGTGGTCAATCACTATTGAACTATCAACCTGGGGATGGTGAGGTAGGCTCTCTAACTCCATGGAAGTTTGATCAACAAAGAGCTAGAACTGCATTAGCTGTTATGATAATCTTGGATGAGCTGCCATTTCGCTTTGTTGAGCATGAAGGGTTTAAGAGATTTATGGCGGTAACCCAACCATTGTTTGTGATACCTGGAAGACAAACAATAAGGCAGGATTGCTATATAATCTTTTTGGAGAAAAAAGAGTTGCTATCTGAGTTCTTCAAATCCAAGTGCAAAGGAAGAATTTCTATCACCACAGATACATGGACTTCTGATAACAACCAGAATTTCATGTGTGTGACTGCTCATTTCATTGGGAGTGACTGGAAGCTGCAGAAGAGGATCATTAGCTTTGTTCCCATCACTAGTCACACAGGGAAGGACATTGCAGAAAAATTGGCAGAATGTCTACAAGATTGGAAAGCACAACAGTTGTTCTCCATTACCATGGATAATGCTTCTTCTAATAATGTTCTTGCAGAGTGTATGAGAACAAAGATGAAAGAGTGGGGAACAGATTTGATTGGTGGGAAGTATTTGCAATTTCGATGTGTGGCACATATAATCAATTTGGTTGTGTCGGATGGGTTGAAGGAGGTTGGAGTTGCTGTAGAAAGGGTTCGAGATTGTGTTAAATGGGTGAAGTCATCACCAGGTAGAAGTGCAAAGTTCAAATCTGCCATTGATTATCTATCAATGGATGGAAGAAGACTTCTATCTTTGGATGTTCCAACTAGGTGGAACTCAACTTATTTGATGTTGGAATCTGCAGAAAGGTTTGAAACCGTCTTTAACTTCTTGCATGGAAGCCCCAATGATTCTGCATTTCGGGATTATGTGGATTCAAAGAGAGGTCTTCCAACTAAGGAAGATTGGACCAGTATTCGGCGCCTAATGAAGTATTTGAAGTTCTTTTATGAGCTCACCTTTCGGGTATCAGGTATGTGAAAAAACATAACTCTTTTGTGATTCAACTTGTAATTCAACTAATTTGTGAATAATATGTTGTTATTTTTGGATGTATCAGGAACATCTTATGTGACTGCTCATACTTTCTTCAAGGCTATTGCTGACATCTATGAAGTGATAGAACTTTTCAAGAAAGACATGGATGTAGAGATACAACGGATGGCAGCAAGAATGGAGGCAAAGGTACGAAAGTATTGGTTTGAGTTTGAGAATGATGATGATGATGATGATGAGGTGGAGAACCTAAGGATAAATAGGCTGGTTTACATGGCGTGTGTGCTAGATCCTAGGCGTAAAATGGCTTATTTGTATTGGATGTGGGGTAAGATGTATGGGCAGAAGAAAAGAGACGATTTGGTGAAAGATGTGACTGCAGAGATGACTGCAGTGTTTGAGGTTTACAGATTGAAGTATGCACCTCAACCCTCCGAGCTTACTGTTCAGACCACTCCTAGTGCTGATGATGGTACTGGATCAGCATCTTATGGAGGGACATTTGATGCTGAATTCTTCAAGATGAGAAAGGAGAAACTTCATAGGGGGATTCGAGGTTCTTCTGAGCTAGACATCTACTTAAGAGATGTTGATGATGCTATTAACGAGGATGATAATGATATGAAGTTTGACATCTTGCTGTGGTGGAGTAAGAACAGCGTTAGATATCCTATTCTTTCCCAGATGGTTAAGGATATCCTAGCTGTTCCAGTCTCCTCTGTTGCCTCAGAGGCTGCTTTCAGTTGTGGAGGTCGAGTGCTCAGCCCGTTTAGGTCTTCGTTGAGCCCCACCATTGTAGAGGCCTTGATTTGTGCTGAAGATTGGATAAGGTATGAAGGAGGGAAGAAAGCAGATAAAGTTGATGATACAGAAGATGAAAATCAAGACCAAATCGATTATGAAAGTGGTAAGAATTCCTAATTTCATTTATTTTTAAGTATTCCATTACTCATTTTTCGATTACATATTATTAGATGAATTCTAATAATTTGTATTTTTTTGTTACACTTAGTCACTACTAACTTCCAAGCTCGAATGGAGAGTGCTACTGTCATGCCAAGTGAAGGTGTCAAACAAAGTTTACCTGTTGTGGTGGAGGAGGAAGAGGAGGAAGATTCAGACGAGGATGAGGAGGACCAGGATGAGGAGGATAATGGTGATGATAACCTTCGCACCACTTTGAAGCAGCAAGGTTTTGTTGATGTTGGTGGACCTTCGAATAAGTAATGGTGGTACAGGTCCTAGTGGCAAGTGAGGAACTATTAATTCTATTTTTATCTTCATGTCTTAAAATTTAATTTAAACATTTAGAAGCAACAAACTAGATTGCTCTATTTTGCTCTATTTGGAATTTATGTTGTAGGTAATGCACTATAGCCTACCTATATGTCATCTTATTTTTTAGACTTTAGTATTTGACATTTTGGGGCTATTGCAATTTGCATTTTGCTGCTTGAAATTTAATTGTTGGATTTTGGGGAGTGGCCAGTGGGGTCTGGTCTGGGCGTATGGGGAATTGCCGAATTGGGATTGGAGAGAAAGTGGGCAAGTGGCAGCTTTTGTCTTTTGAGAAATCAGAAAAGGTTTCCACTTTCCCTTCCCCTATGACCTATCCACGAGAGACAATTAGTGATTTAGTGTTGTGCTGCGTCTGCTGCCTGCTGGTGAGTGGTGATTGCTGTTTGCTGATGCGGTGAGAGACAGCTGGAGCCGACAGGGACAGGACAGGCGGACTGGACAGGGACAGCTGGAGCCTGGAGCCCTGGACAGTGGACAGCCGACAGGGACACGGTATCTCGGGATGGGAGTGTCCATTACCGAAACCGAATTAATCGGTAAGCGGCATACCGAGGGGCTAGCGGTATCGGCATGCGGGTATTGTATGGGCAAATTCGGTAATACCGGAAACCGATAAAACGGTAAACGGTAAACCGTTTACCGTACCGTTACCAGCCCTAGGATATTCAATCCTAAAACCGTGATTTAACCGTGATTCAACAGTTTTCATACCGTCAAAATTGTTTTACCATTTGAAATTCGATATGTAGTCGTATTTTCGGTCTGACCGAACGATAGAGTACGGTTTCTTAAATATTGATCATCACATTTTCTTTTCACAATGCATATTCTTTTTTTTAAAGGTGATTTAGATAATAAAAAAGTTTTGTAATTAGATGTTACTGAATAGACTCAAAACTAATAATGATATCACTAATTTGCCACATTTCATATTATAATAAACAAACAAAATTTTGAAACTCTTCCTCCTCCCCCTCCTTTATAAACACTCCAAAAACACTCTTCCCCACCCATAATCAAAATAACCAGCAAGCAGCAATAGAACACCACCAACACAAAAGCAAACCAGCCATGGCTTCCTCTTCCTTCTCCGCCACCGCCGCCGCCGCCACCATTTCTTCTTCCCACCGTCACCAATCCCTCCTCCTCACAAAACCCTTCACCCACAATTCCTTGCTCTTCAAGCAACCCAACACACTCACCACCACCCCATCCCTCCGCCCTCTCAAACTCCGCGCCTCCTCCTCCGTCGCTCCCCTCAACAAAACCGCCGCCGTCGCCGCCGCCCCGCCGCCGCTCCCGGACTTCGACTTCAACGCCTACATGCTGACCAAGGCCGCCCTAGTCAACGCCGCCCTCGACCAATCCATCCCGCTCGCCCGCCCGCTCAAAATCCACGAGGCCATGCGCTACTCCCTCCTCGCCGGCGGCAAGCGCGTCCGCCCCGTCCTCTGCCTCGCCGCCTGCGAGATGGTCGGCGGCGACCAGTCCCTCGCCCTCCCCATGGCCTGCGCCACCGAGATGGTCCACACCATGTCCCTCATCCACGACGACCTCCCCTGCATGGACGACGACGACCTCCGCCGCGGCCTCCCCACCAGCCACAAGAAGTACGGCGAGGACACCGCCATCCTCGCCGGCGACGCCCTCCTCTCCTTATCCTTCGAGCACGTCGCCACCCGCACCCCGAGCTCCGTCTCCCCGGACCGCGTGGTCCGGGCCATCGCCGAGCTCGGGTCCGCCGTCGGGTCCGCCGGCCTCGTAGCCGGCCAGATCGTCGACATCGCTAGCGAGGGCGACGTCGACGTCACGCTCGAGGTGAGCGCCCACATAAATAAATAAATATCACTTAATCGAGTGTGTCACTCGATTAAGTGACATTTTGTTCAATATTGTCAGTACCACTTTTTTGTGACGTTTATTTTGTTGTGACACATATAAATTGTAATCCTTACTAGGATCTGGAGTACATACACATTCACAAGACGGCGAGGCTGCTGGAGGCGGCCGTGGTGTGCGGCGCGATTCTCGGGGGCGCGGACGACGAGAGCGTGGAGAAGGTGAGGAGGTACGCGCTGCGCGTGGGGCTGCTGTTTCAGGTGGTGGATGATATTTTGGACGTGACCAGGTCGTCGGAGGAGCTGGGGAAGACGGCGGGGAAGGATCTGGCGAGCGATAAGGCCACGTACCCGAAGTTGTTGGGCCTGGATGGGGCCCGGAGGTTTGCTGCGGAGCTGGTGGGCCAGGCCTGTGAGGAGCTGGCCGGGTTTGATCCGGTTAAGGCCGCCCCGCTTTACCATTTCGCTAATTACATTGCGACCAGGCAGAACTAATTGATTGATTTCTTCCAGACTTTGTTGTTATCGTTTAATTGTATTAATTAATCTGTCGACTGATCGATACTCTGCCGGCCGGCCGGCCGGCCGGGGTTGATTATTGGTTAAGTACCGATGAATTAGATTTGTTTGTTTGTTGGTTGTATACTCCGCCATGGTTTTTTGGCTGTTTTCATAATTAGAAGAGACAGGAGATATATAATGTACTATTTCATGACAATAATCTGGTCATCACAACTTCATTGATGGATTTCCTAATAATGTACTTAATTAAGAAATGTAATGTAATCAAAATTCAAAACTCTCATACTATTTTAATCGTTGGATACATATATTGTCATTTTCCTTTCTTCTTGGTAATCAATTAACCCTGACAATGGACAGATGAACCTGATTAATCAATTTAAGTAGTAAGTAATTAGACTAGATTCTGGGGAGAGCAAATTGTGGGGATAGTCCAAATTTATGGGATCCATGCTTGCTAGCTGGCTGCTCGGAGTAGGTGGCCTGGATGACATTTTTGACCGCTTTCTCTATTTAATTATGAAATTATTCTTCTGTACGGTTTTAGTTATTTATTTCTATTGATTAACTACGCATTATCCATTAGATTATTAGATCGCAGTCCCAAATGGTGGCAGTGCAACCTTGATTTCTGATTTAAAAGTCAGTCTGAGGTTTTAGGCGAACTAAAAGTTTATTATGTTGCGTAATTATGGTTGTCTACTCACACCTCGATAGAGAAGCGAGCCACTACATTATGCTTCTTCATACGTCATAAGATAAAATAGAGCGACGTGTCTATCGATAACCTATGTCGTCCGCAACGTAATCTGAAAAGAAGATACCTTCTTGAACAGGTGATCCTTTGAGATATTGAAGGATTCGCGATTAGCATCCATAATATATAAAGTAATTAACATATAATTAGTGATTCTTCTCAATAGGAAAAGAAGAGGGGGCACTCTATAATACGAAGTAATTAACCTAAGTACACCGAACACTTCCTATATCATGGCTGGCTAGGCTTTGAGGGCTTTTGGTAAGAAACAAATCAAGTCGTTGGCTGCGCCTACCAATTCTCCTGAATTAATAGGTCGACACTAAAGAAGAAGCTGGTCTGGTCAATAAATGGTATTATTCTGTACAAAATCCAATGGAAATGGCAGAGTCAAGAACGTGAGTTGCATGGGGAATATCTGATCTGATGTGCATCGGAATTCTTAAATTTATTTATTTATTTTAGCATGGGAAGTGGAAGCAGATCTCATTTCTGAATTCTGATAGATACCCAACACGAAGTCAATATATAAAGCCAATATACGGGTAGAACATAAATTTTTTTTGTATATAATGAGGACAGGTGTTTACACTTTACACTCACTCAATGTTAACTCTAACTCCCGTTGATGGGAATATTTTGTAATTTGTATTGATGATTTGTTTAATTTTAAGGAGCTTATTAGAATTAAAGTCGATTTTTAAATGGAAGACACGTTTGTCATTTTTTTTAAATTATAGGGGAACATACGTGTGGTGTTGCTCATTTATTTCCCACTCCGTTCTGATCACAAGTGTCATGAAGCACACTATAAACCCAACGAACCACAACACACATGATATAAAGTAGACCAGAAAGCTTATAAAATATACCAAAACCTAATCACACCAAAAAATTCATAAAGCATACCAGAAAAATCAAAGTTGACCACAACCTCCCTGAAGCAGACCAGAAACATCATAAAATCGATCACAAGTTTCCTGAAGCATACCAGAAACCTCATAAGGCCCATCACAAGTTCTTTGAAGCAAACCAAAAATCACATGAAAACCTGACCACAAGTTCCCAAAACATACTGAAAACCTCATTAAAGTCGATGACAAATACCCTGAAGCAGACCATAAGCTCATAAATCCGACCACAAATTTCTTGAAACAGACCACAAAATATGTGCGACCACATAACAACTCTCACGAACATACTAAAAAGACAGAGAAAGCAAACCATGAATCTCATGAAGTAAACAAAAAATGTCAGAGGATAAGAGAGTAATAAAACAATTATGATGGTGAAAAAGAAGCCGCTACAATTCATTGAAATAAATATGGTGGTGAAATGTGGTATATGTTTATTAGTATATTCCTAATATGATATGCATACAACAATTATATCCTTTCAAATGGTGTAATTTTATGTACTATAAAATATTATTTTCATGGTATAGACTTTTTTTTTACAAAATATATCAAAGTGAATGTCATTTTCAAGAGCATAATTAGCCTGATTTTTAAGTAAAAAAAAATTAAACTGAAATTTTTCTATCCAGACAATGAATTAAACTGAACTTGAGGTATGATACTATATCATGATTCATGACCTCTAATGGACAAAGTTTAAGTCTTGATTCTTTAAACCCAAACTCGATTATCAATTTAATAAAAAAAATAATCGATGATTTTGAGTCTTCGAAATGCAACAAAGTACATCCAACTATTAAATCCCTTGTAGTACGGTATACTCAAGGATTGAGTCATTTTTTTACCTATATTTTATATAGGTGGGGAGTTTTATCGTATCCATGGTAAATTTGGAGATACCTCATATCCGGCGTAAGAAAACACTATCTAGGCCTTGAATTGACCGGACTTTGGAGCATAGTAGATGGTTCTCCAAAGTAAATCTAGAGTACCACATACCCTTGGTATGAAAATGGTATCTAGAGCTCAAATTAATCAAATTTTGGGGCATGATACTATATGCTGACCCTTGATAAGTGAATCCTAGTTCTTAATTATCTAAATCATAGACCCTAAACACCAAGATTGTGCATATAATTTGTTGGATGTATTTTGACGAATCATGACCATCGATTACAGTTTCAAATTAAATAAATCTTGGCATGTGAGATTTATAAAATTAAGACCTAGCTTTTTAAGCTTTAAATATTACAAGTACAGTATCAAGTCTCAAAATCCGATCAACTCAACGTTTATATATATATATATATATATTTTTTTACATAGCGTATGTCATATTTTTAATTTTACTCAAGTAGTCAATCATTTGTCGGAAGCGATCCATTATTTACTCTTGACGGTCGACCGATTTCCTAAAGCGATTAACCAATTTCTCGACTTGAGTCACTCTATGTTATGTTTTAATTTATACTTTTTGCCACGTAATCAAAGCTAAATAGGCAGCTTTGACTAAACAATCGACGGTAAGTGTAGAAAATTATCATCCCTCATTCCTTCGTGCTACTCTATGGCCAATATGTCATGTTTTAAAGATCTGTGACCATTTCATTACCACTCCACACCCGGCAGTGAAATTACACATTTCAGTTACCCATTTTATATATAATAATTGCATGAGAGCAAATTGACGCGAAGTATTCAACACGAATTGTCAGCATCAATGCACCATAGTCCACGTTTGACAACACTTGCTAAATATTTCATACTCTCTCTCTCTCTCTCTCTCTCTCTCCATTTATTGACAAACCGATGGCAGTTTCCACATCTGATGTCTCCTTCAACCAAAGACTTTCGGCCGCCAACCAGCAATAACATCTTCCTGCAGTGCCCGTGTTTTAACAAAGGAATCCATGGTGAAAATTGCCTGTTAAGAAACAGAATCCTTTAGCACGATCAACGGAAGGAAAATACAGAAACTGAAGTAACTAAGCCGCAATGATACAACAGAAATACAAGATTATCTTTCTGGAGTTTGGTCTCCCAAATACCTGCATGTAAGACTTGACGTGAGGCAACGAGTCTGGAACAGACCAACTTTTATAATGACTCAAAGCAATCTCTAAATGATATAGCTTCGGGCCGAGGGACAGATCAGCTGCAGACACCTTTTCCCCGTTGATGTAAGGACCCTGCAGAAGTTAAATGGGGGTCAGATCCATTGCTGGACAACACCTTAAGCACCTCAGCAACCTGATTATGTTTCAGTTGCTTTCGGCGGCATGGGATTACTGCAGCCTAATGCTTTCCAGGCAATTAACCACCCATTGTAAGAGAACAGGAAAGTCAACTCACATTTTCTTTGATATATTCGTCGAAAGAAGTTAGCTCATTCAGTAATGCCTGCTCTGTTCCATCTCCGGGGTCTTTGCTTTTAAGGAATCCAATGAAAGTGGAGAATATCTTTGAGCCACTGCATCAACAAAATTAGAACATCCTTTAGCAAACATAAATGGAGGTGAAAGGAACTGGCATGCGCAGCGTAGTCAAAATCCAAAGAACCATTAAGTGACACAATCTCGAGTTCAACGATAGAGATGGGATTTCAGATTGCAGCATAAGCAAAGCACATACACATCATGGTAAATGTGAGGATAACATAGAGGCGAACATTTCAAAAGTGGAAACACATCCATCAGATATAAGTTGATCATAAGGGGGAAATTTCAACTGGACAGGGCATAAGACCATCCAAGTTGTACACTATCTCGAAACTACAAAAAGAGATCAAACCGTCACTTGTTTGAACTCAACCTCCCATTGAACTGATGCCTGATTTGAGAATTTCCACAGTTCAATGAAGGTAGAGAGATAACTATAATTCCTCCATTCCAGTTCTCAACTAACTTCGTCGACCACAAAGACTTCTTTCAACAAACAGTTCAAAAGCAAAATGAATGAAAAACAGAATAAGAGTGCTAATTAGGTTTTCAGAAATCATCAACTAACACTCATATCAAACAGGCCTTCAATTTCCTGAAACAGTGCTACATTATGACTTTGATCGCTTGGCATCGAAAAGGGTACTTCTAACAACTGGAAATGGTACTTACACAGAAGATTTCTCAGGTGGTGCTGCCAATGGTGGATCAGGGAATTTCTCTTCTAACGACTGGGTAATTACATCTGAATCCGGAACCCATTTATCGTCGAAGTTTACCACAGGGACTTTACCCTCTGGGCTTAGCTTCAAGAACCTACAGAACAACAGAAACAGAATGAACATAGTCCACTGCCTATTACGAATCAGATACCCAATAAAACAAATGTGCCATCATTCTACTTAGGTTCCAGTAAATTAGCTTCTCAAGCTCACTATACTACATTTTGCTTCCAATGCTATATAACAAAGTTACATAAGGAGACATCAAATTCAAACCATTTCAGGCGCAAGAAACAAGAAGTGGATTCAAGCAATCACCATTCTGGCTTGTTGCTCAAATCTACCAACTTCATGTCATAAGGAAGATTCTTTTCCTCCATGGTCAGCAATACCCTCTGACAGAATGGGCCTACAAAAAAAAAAGTTCAGAACTTTCAATTCAATTGCTGAAACTCAAAGGTCCCCTCAAACATAACTTGCGCTCAAATGCTTGAATTTCGGCACAGCCACTCGTATATATACACTAATCGAGATAACGTCGGAGCGAAATCGACTTACAGTCGCCAAGCTTGTCCGGCACGGTGATGGACGCCTTCACGCAGACTTGGAGAGGGTTCGACGCTACAGTGGACATAGCTACGGTGAGGGTTCTCCGAATTCCGCATCGTCTGGAAGCGACCGGAGTGGTGGTGGCGGGAAAAGGGAACTTGAAGCTGAAGCTGTGTTTGACGGTGGAGGAGAGCGCGGAGGCAGCTGCAGCGGCCACCGTCGGTTGGATTCTGGCTGACGACATCTTCGGTCAGATAAGCCGAGCTTTCGAGCTGCTCGGGAGAATGATTTTGCGTTCAGAAATCAGAGATGGAGAGAGGCGCCACATTTTGGGCCGGATTACAGTGTGTTACTGTCCACACAGTACTGGGCCGGATTGTCTTGTTGCTGTCCATAGTACTGGGCCGGATCGTCTTGTTGATGTCCGCAAGCCTACGTTCATTACCTAGAAAATAGTAATTCTTGGACCATCAGGTTTCTCCCGTTACAACAAGGAAAACCAATAACCATTCCAATTATGTCCTTGAGGATTGTTTCTCTTTTTTTATTACACTTGTAGGTGAGAAGTGTGATTCTACCTTGACTACTTTGGATGTTAAGACAAGGCAGGGGACAAGCAGTCTAGTTATTCTGCTAACTTGAAAATTCGTTAGTATATACTAACTAATATCCAAAATATGTGAACTAATATCCAAGTCTGCTGAGTATCTAGATAACACATACTAGTATTCAAAACATCACAAACTAGTATCCAGATAGCAGATACCAATTAATATCCACAATCAACCAACTAGTATTCAATATGGATACTCTTATGTGTTATCTGGATACTCTTAAGTGTTATCGGGATACTAATTATGTGTTATATGGATACTATTCTGTGTTGTCTAGATATTAGTTTGTGAATTTGGGATAATAGTTGATTCATGGTGGATATCAGTTAACAAACTTTGAATACTAGTCTGTGCTCTCTAGATACTTTAGTACTTGGATACTAGTTCATGTATTTTGGATATCAGTTAGTATCTGCTAACGAATTTTCAAGTTAGCAGAGGGCTAAGGTGGGGTTTGGGTTCAAGGATGAGGCATCGATTAGAGGCAAGGTTGTCAATCCGCGGGCCAACTCATTTTGATCCTGATCTAGTGAGAAAATGGGTCGTACGGACCCGTTGGGTCGACCGCTACAAGTTACCGGGTTGGAGGTCAAATTGTGTTATTTTTTTCTTTGGTTTATGAAATGCGCCTATTTCCCGATTTTTTTTTCCGCCTAACTCAATTTTTGGAATCCTTAGTTGAACATTTGAATATTGATGTTATATAAGTGTGTGTGAATTTTTCACTATATGTTGGATCTAAGTACGACATGTTACTTTGGTGCAACGTTATATGTTAGTACTCATATGTTAGATGAGATTTGATATATTTTGTGAGGATAAGTACAATATAATGACTCTTTTCATATTTACGGGCTAAAACGGGCAACCCGTTAACCCTTGACCCACTAGCTTGACCGTGTACGGGTCAACCCGCGGGTTGACAACCTTGATTAGAGGACTTGTCGATGTTGGAAATGTTGACGGGCAAACAACAACAATGTCAAAGAAGATGTCAACACCAACCTCCCTCCCTGAAAAGGTTAACCGCGAGGTTTTGTTTAGTTCATCTATTAGAATATCGTTTTTCAGCTTTCTCCATGCAACATTCAAAAATTAATCCAGTCGAGTAACTCGAGTTGCCTGAACCTTATTCAAATAATAGATAGTTTTTCGACTTTCTCCTTGACACTTGTTTAGACCCTTCCCTCCATATCAGAAGCAAGCAAATAATTGAGGTGAGAAGCTGGAAAGGTGAGATGAAATGGATCTCAGAGTTTATCACATGTTCTTCTTCTTCTTCATCATCGTCGATCATGGTGGGTGCCCAAAGGAATCTGAAAGCAGGTGAGGACTGAGGAGAGACGGTACATATATAATACATACAAGGAAAGCACATGAAAGAGGAGATTTCATGGTCCTACAAATGGAACATGCATATCTCTTGATGTGCTTTCAAAAGACTCGGATTTAGGTAAGAGTACTGAAAGATGGATGCCTGACATGTCTATTTCTTTGTTTACCCCTAAGAATATATATTTTTTCCCCCTTTTTCTATTGCATTGACTATTTATGAATCAAATTGTGTAATTGCCAATTGGCTAGCCAATAGCTAAATAATCACAGTTGAATTTGTGGTTGCAAAAATATTATAAAATGAAGGGTTATAGGTATAATATGTCTCCCTACTGTGTCGTTTTATCAAACATGTCCTTCTACTATTTTTTACATAAAACATGCCCTTATACTTTAGAAAAATGATCAAACATGCCCTTTTGTTAATATTTTCATCCAAAACAGTCAACCACGGTCGTACCTTGGTTTGGGCGACACAAATGTATAAAATATCCCTGATAATTTCACTTAGAATTTTTTGGGTTCTTTTGTAGAGCCAAATACCTCTAATAATTTCACTTTAATGGGACCTAGAAAAATAAAAATAGGTGACAAAACTGACATTTTCCCTCTCATTTGTCGATGTTGGGTCGTCTACATCTCGGTTCAACCATGGTTGACGATTTTTTTAATGGAAATTTGAACATAAGGTCATGTTTGATCATTTTTCCAAAGTACAAGGGCATGTTTGATGTAAAAAATAGTAAAGGGCCATGTTTGATAAAACTACATAATAGAGGGGCATATTATACCTATAACCCTAAAAGGAAGTATATGTTATAAGTGATTATTCATCTATCAATACTAATACCATATATCTCTCTTTGAGGGTGTTGTTTGGATAGGGGGATTTGGAGTTGGTATTTGAGATTTGGAATTCCAAATACTGAATCGTTTCTTTGGATACTAATTAGATATGGTATATGGATTTGTACTAGATACATGAGTGAATTTCAAATGCAATTATTGGTGAATTTCAAATATACATCAATAATTAGTGATTTGAAAATTCTCATAACAACATATAAAACCTATTTGTAATTAAAATTTTAAAATTTCAGGTACTAGATTGCAATATAAAAATGACTAAAACGTAATTTTGCTACCAAAATTGTTGGACATGTTTGTACAAAAAATTAAAATATAGGTACTGAATTGTAAGAAAAAATAAATTATGTTACTAAAATGTAATTTTCAAACAATTGTAATGTGTCACCAAAAAAAAATTGGAAATTAGATTTGAGTAACAACATGATCATTAGTTTTAAAGAAATGAGTAGATGGCTAATTTACCAATCCAAAAGAAAGGGTTAAAACAAACTAAAATATTTCTATTACTCAATTCTGTGTAGATGGAATCTAGTCAGAGCTTTGTTTGTATCGCATTTCTGCTTACAATAGAGTCGTTATCAGTACATTTTTCAAATATAATTAACACAGCATATTACGTATATAAACAAACTTCCCCTGATCAAGAAACAGAGCTTAATTAGTTAATGAATGTATAATATCACGGATGATTAGTTATTGAATCAAGAGAAAAGATAAGGACTCCATCGGACCATGGTCAACAACAAACACCAAATTCGATGCAGTTGATAGTAATTTGGTTAATTTACTTCTAAAAAATTAAATCAATTTATCAATTAAGCAATTAGTCATATGTATAATATCATATACTCATATTTTGTATAATCACACAAAAATTTATATATTATATTTATTCTTATAGTATGTAGTCGACGATATACAAGCACCTAATTAAATAAAACTCATATATTGTGTTGTATGAATCTCATAAAATATATATGAGCGCATTTAATTAAAGTACTGTAATGTAAAATGTAACTTTGCTTAAAGAACCTTTGTGCAATATAAAATTAATGAGATGGTCAGTATTTTATTCAATAATAAAGAAATTTTGTTCAAACTCTATTATAGAAGGCTAACATAATATGTTTTGTGATACATAAGAAATACTCGAATTTACGTTGTCAAACCAATTTAAATTGTATATTTGGATTTCGTAAGCGTTTTGGTCTAGTACAACATATCTATATACATTTTTGTGTCCATTTTGACACAACATGGAAGAAACATGCAAAATCATTAACACCAAATGAATTGTGCACATATGTCATTTTACGTTCATGTGTAAATAAATAGCACATTACAAACAAAATGACAAATCATCATATTTAATCATACCATTTAAACGTCAACATCCAAACGTTTATACTCGAATCCATCAAATAACATCAACATCTAAATGTTCATAGTTAAATCCAACAAATTCCTTTATTTTTGTTAATTCTTCAATACAAAAACGACATCATTTTGTTTATGAACCAAAACTTATCATTCCGATCGAACCATTAATTTTTTTCATTTTATCGATTTTGACTACCACTTCTTACTAGCGATCTTCTACCCGGTTTGTCTCCAAAACTTGTTGAATCCGGTTGTACCGGCCGGTATATATATGAGTGGTTTGATAACCATGTTATTACCCTTATTTTTAATAAGAAAGAGTTATTTTAACTTTTCTTATATGTAATAATAACAATAATAATTTTCAATTTGATCAGTCTTTAATAATTCTTTTTGTTGCTTAGTTATGAATTTACCATCATCGAAGAGAACTTGTTTTGTATCAGTTCTGCGTTGCTTAATATCTTGGGCCTGTGAACACGTTATGATGTAAGTGCATGTGACAATAGCTTGGACTGCCGTTGGACAGGTAGATGATAGTTTTGTTAATGATTATTTATCCCATCCTGTTTGAATTATTGTTTCTAATTTATAAATTTGAGCAAAGAATCTTTACTTCGTATTCTGAGAAAAATAGAAGTCCAACAATGTTTCATACAATACATAATGTACGAGACTCGGATATGATATGTAGGGTGTTCAAACGGTTTGGTTACCATGATAACCGTTTTAACCGATACTATTTGGATAATTTGGTTTGGTTAATTTGGATAATTGGTTTGGTTTGCTTAAAGTTTTTAGCTTGTTTGGTTTAGGTGGTTTGGTTTGGTTTCAGACACTCCTAACCAGTTAAACCAAATTAACCAGTTAAGTAATTAGTCATATATCTAACATATATTATATACACATACTTAATACTTTGCATAACCACTCAAGAGTTAACGTTCATCCCTTTTAGACTCATAAAATATAAAGCTCAATATTGCTCATATAGTGTATATTTGTATATGTAAAATGTAGACCACAACATATGTACGCCTAATTTAGATAAATTTCATACATTATGATGGATGAAAACTTGAAAGGAAGGTCATTTCCAACCTATGATAATTGCTAAGAGACTAAGTCAATTTACACAAACACAACAATTCATTATCCCATACCATTGTCATAAATTTTGTTAGGTGAATACTTCTATACTAATCGTAAGATAATTG